AAAGTCGCATGTTCACAGGAATGAACAATGTCATCTGCAGATGTCCGTGGGAAATATAAAATCGATATACTTGGCCTTTCAAATGAACAAATGAATAAGATTTTTTTAAAACATGGTCAACCAAATCTTTTGTACCAGAAAAATAAATTAGAAAATTTTCCTTGTGAACCAGTTAAATTTATAAATTAATAACATTACAATTGTTTGTTTGCCATACACAATGTCCCAAATGATATATTAAATCCTACGTGTTTGTTTTAAAATAAGTAAAAACTTTCTTAATTTTTCATGTTTACTATATAATATTTTGTTACATATATTATGTTGATTACGCTATATTTTTTTACTGTGCTACATTTTGAAAGTTTAAAAAAAATCATGATATATAATATATATATGATTAATATAAGAACATTTCCCATGTATTTTCATCGAAATATATTTTTGTAAACGTAATTTTGTTTTTGTTTCTAAAACTTTTAAAATTTATTTTTGTTACTTTAATCAATGACCCTCGGCAACATTGGTCATTGGGTGTTGTTAATATTGTAGATTTATAATTATGTAAAAATATATTTAATCTGAATTTTATAAAAAGTTATTTGTGCATAATTGTGTACACGTATACCTTTATACTCAATAAATAAAACAAATATGTATTAGGGTAGGATGCATTTCAGTGTATAAAAACGTAATGTGTAACGCTATATATTATAGTTACGTGCAGCTACTACGTAATGACTAATTAATGTTTATTATGGTATATAGCGATGCATTTATCGGGGGATGATAGGGTATTGAATATATTGGGTGCTATCACTGGAGGAATAGGAAAGTATTGGTCGATTAGTGTGATTGCTGATTATTTAAATTATTATAATTATTAAACTAACAAATATTTTTTGCTGAACAATTCGAATACACGATTCGCGGGTGGACAAACAATTAGAGGGTTCCAGTAAAATATTGACTGCTGGCTGAAAATTATGTTTAAAAATGCACCGCTGGTAAGTAATGTGCGCAAATACAGAAGAGTATGCAAAAATCGATGAAAATATGTACCAACACATTTGCATGTATGTTGAAATACACGCAAACTGTTCTGTTTTATGTAAAAAAAAAAAAAATTATGAGAATATTTCGTCCCACACTCGTAAGTTATATTATACTCGTATATTGCAGCGTTCGGGCTGAGTGTTTCGTGTACACGCGTATTATAAATATATTATAACGGTGTATACTCGCGATTACGGTATTTCAGTTGGTTGTTCTCCGTACGTAATATCATTTCGGTTAATTTCATTATACATATATATATAAATGTACCTGTACTTATATTTGCCCTTATAGCCATTCTAATTGTCCACGTGACAAGCAGCATTTAATTACATCCAACATAAATTTACACTTCAACTCGCTGATCACTGTCGACCAAAACGATCACAAGTCGTCAATATATTTTAATATACTTCGCGATTAGACGCGTATTATTTTTTCTCGATTCAATGATATTATTGAAATTTATATTACTGGAATGCCAATTTCAATCTACTGTAATCCTAACGTTACCGTGGAGTACACACAGGGGATAACGTTTTTCCGTTTATTCTAAAACGCTCCCAACCACTGTACAACGGAGGAATGGAGGTCGTGAAATACGTCAGACGATTCCTGTGTAACATCCTGTATGGTGTCTCGGTCCATCCTACTGATACACTGTCACAACATTCCACCACGTGAAATAAAAACCGAGATGTCTAATTTACCTATTATCAAATTTTAATCGAATAATACTGCCGATGTTACGCCTCGTCCTTCTTGTAATATAATATTTCTCTTCGAGAAGTTAAAATAGTCTTTGTTAAATAATTAAGTTTGCAAAACATATAAGATGTTATCTTGGAACTATTTTCTTATACGCAGAATATCATCACGTCCTCGTATGTTCTTTTCTTCGCGTTGTATGCAAAAGGCTTTCATGTAATCGCGAGGCTCTCGCATTCCACAGATATTATAAACTCGACGAACTTTCTGGATAACCGTTGTGATCAATAGATAATAATCATTGATCGATAGCTTTACTATTATTTCAGAAAAAAGTTTACGATGCGCCCGCATGACTTTAATACCGTGCAATATACTGTACCATATATATGGCTCATCGCCCCTAGGTTATATAGATTTTACATAATCCGTAAAGAGTTCAAGCGAAACCGACCCCAGTGTTTATTGTACATTTAATTGTTATCAAAATCACATGAAGTCCTATAAAATTTAAATCGTACGCGTATTTTAAAACTATGTTGAAAACTTCAAAAGTCTTAGCGCCCATAAAAGCCTTACGTTCCCGTAACTATACTAGTAAAATGGTCAAAAAGTTGAATAGCTAATCTCTGAATAAATTTTAAACTTAATTAGTCCATTATAACTAGTTGAATCGATACTTTAATTAAAAAAAAAAAAAAAAAAAACATTGATACGATTTAGCTTTTACAAATTAATTTGAAAAATAATCGCAGCCACGTCGAAAACGTATGGAAAACGTTCACATTTACCGGATAAGCATTTATAAATAGTTAACCGTACTGAAATGAAGCGTATCGTTACGACATGGGTTTGAAAATATATTTGGTTAAAACGTAAAACTTGAAAACGGCCGGGCATTTTTTAATGCTATCCGGATGATTAAAAGAGCTTATTAAAAAAAAAAAAAAATCCTGTTTTATAACTGATCGAAATTGATATTTTTCACCTCGTAGATAAATCGCTTTTAACTGTTAGCTCACGTAACCCGACGATATTGCGTTGACTTAATAACATGACTGGCTCGAATCAATCGAATTAAGCCTTCGAACGTCGTCGGGAATCCGGCACGCGTCCGTGCGTGCTACGTTACGGGAGCGACATCGCAAACGACCAAACGATCAGTGCACTCGAACGGGCGTGAAATAATTATACAGGCACGATGTTGTGCCGTGTAAGCGTTGGCATGCCGGTCCGGTAGAAAGTTTTCGATCGTGGTTAAGGGTGGTTCTTAAGGAGGGTGTCCGAGATAATTGCTGGGGATTCGATTAGTGTACCGAACACACGTGTGCACTCGTACGGGTGGTTCAGGGCGGGAGGGTTGCACGTGCGAGTGCGTCCGACGCGCGCGACAAAGCGTAACGGAACGTTATTCGCGCGCATTAAATCTCACCTAACCTGTGCGCAACAGTTGCGTTGCACATTACATTACGCGCGTACACGGTTGATTGGTGTTGCAACGCATTGCTCGATCGTCCGGTCGGTACACGACGCGGCGCAAATGGTTTGTAGGTTTTTTCTTTTATTTGCGTTCCGTCGTCGATATCCTTCGAGATCGACGGAACATAACCGTGAAAAAACGAACACTTCGAACTTGGAGCTTGGAGTGATTAACCGGCGACCGATCGACATACATATCTGTACGCGTTCGCTGTTTCAATCGAGTACTGCGTCCAAACGCTCGTGCTAATATTCACGTAGATAAATATACATCACGTGGTCTCCCCGCTGTCCGCGACCGGGTTTGCTCTGTCGCCGTTTTCATAACAAACGTTAGTGCGCATGTGTGAACAAGCAACGTGCACTGTTACTCTGTTAACCCGATCATCGGTTCACCACGGTTCCGTTAAAAGTACACGAGCAGAATATGTACACCGGAAGGAGAATTTTGAAATGCTTTTCGTGTAGTCCTAAATTCTTTACGTTATATTATATCCTTTTGGTCGCTTTTTTTTTCCCTTTTCTTTTTTTTGATTAATGCTTATATACGATTAACAAGACTACGGATTTGAATTCTTACTGAACCCAAGCTAAAAATAACGTAAATACTTATATTATAAAAAAAAAAAAAAAAAAAGTACATCTTATTACCTTAGAAATGTGCAACATTGTAATTCGTAAAAGCATAAGGGAAAGGTGGTACAACCAATTCTTGGCCACTGAAAAACCTGCTAGCAGTAATTGGTTTATTCCTTCTAGCTATCTGACAGCATGAAATGCCTTTATATTTTCTGTTGACGAGATCGTTGTTATGCTTTTCCACCGGGATAGATTTTTATAAGATTTATAAGAAACGATATAACACGCTGTCGACCGAGGGCTTTTGCGCTTTGGTCCCGTCTGCTATCCACACATGTAATAGGTACGTTATCTGAATAAAATCTATTGGGTGATGACGTGATAAATGGTTTAAACGATGGTGCCTAAGGGTTGTATGCCTATCACGCACAGGCATGATCTGCAAAGTTTGACGAAAAATGTATTGTCAATCGCGTTTCCTTTTACATAACAACAGTTCTTTGTTTCTTTTTCCCTATTTTTATCATAATTATCGTTGTAGTAGGTATTGTGGACATTTTATATATAATACCACGTCACATATTGCCACAATATAAAGACGAAAAACCGTCACTCATAATTTATCATTATTTATTATTTTTTACTAATCATAATTTATTAATGCATGTTATTCAGTTATATTATTGTTATACGGTGTGATAGTAAAAACAACGTGCATTGCTTTCGTGTTGAAGATGAAATACGAAATCAATATTTCCTAGTCGTTCAATCGAGTTTTCACTAAAGCGGAAATGAATATCGGAAAGACATTATTATGATACCAGACTTCTTCTGATCCTAATTCCTGATTTATTTACTGTGGATACGTTACGTTATATTCGTCTCCCGCTCGTTCTTGTTAGACATTTATATTTCTCGTAAAAACATAAGAAAAAAAATGTCTACTATTATTTTCACGTTTTAAACGCTCGACTCGGGCGATAGCGTTTTTTCTCGGAGTTCGAATCACGAACCGTGTTCCTTATCCATTTTCGGTGGCCGTTAATACGACATTTAGCTTGTGCACGACATTTGCAAAACAAGGTCATGCCTATAACGATGATGATGTGATGCTATATTGAGTAATCATGTGCTTGTTATACGTGAACGCGACTGACGCGCGTGCGCACGTGTTGTAGATGTTGCAGGTAACAACAACCTGACGCGCACCAAGTCGCAGTACCACCGCACGCACCCGGGCCGGTTGGTGAACTTCAGCAGCTTCCGCGTGTCCAACCGGCACCAACAACAACAACAGCAACAACAACAACAGCAGCAGCAGCAGCAACCGCAGGCTCGCGGCGGAATGGTAGCTAGGGCCGTGACGATGGGCGGCAGCCGTCTGCTGTCCGCGTCCGCTTTCGGCAACTCGCTGCAGCAACCGCGGAACGCCGTAGTCGTCGAAGAGACCGCGCAGCAACGCGACCCGAAGACGGCGTCGGGCGGCAGCGTCAAGCCGGCCACGTTCGCGGAACGACGGAAGTACCGGAAAACGACGGTCGCCGCGATGGACACGCGCTCGGCCGCAGAGGCCGCGTGCCCGGGCACGACGCTCAGGTACTGCAAGTCCGTGTCGCCCATAGCCGAAAAGCCGCCGGCGCGACACAGTCCGCCCAGGTCCGTGTCCATGAACCTTCAGCCGCGAAGCTTCGTCCCGGCGGCGGCGGCCGATCCGTGCCCGAGGTGATGACCGGCCGCGGCCACACGACGGCGGCGATGGCGGCGGCGGGACGACAGGGCGCGTTCCACGGTCACCGTTCTTCTCATCCTCCTTCGCCCCTCCCGCGCGGTGCGCCGTTCGACGTAACGTCCAAGCGAAGAACGTGAACAAAATGTGTAGCTCGCACGCGTTCGGCCGAAGCTCTCCGTTCGTTTCCGGTCGTCGTCCCTGTCCGGCCCGCGGGCCGTGATCGTCGGTGCCGATGTACAACGTGTCGTGCAGGGTCTCGACAAGTCGATTTCGAAGGGAACGGGACGCGCGAAGAGTAATTCGTGTGCTTTACGTTAGACTACATTCGAAGCTCGGATCGTGTACATAGATAGAACTGTAGTGAGGGGATCGGCACCCTGCGCGCCTCTTCTGCTCATGATCCGCAGCACTTCGGGATACGCCTGGACGTCGTCGAATTTTTTCCCCCGCCCGCATACCGTTGTTACAGCGACACCCGTGGCGTACACGCGACCAATCCTTCTCTCCTCGGCTTTTACCGCGTTCAGATAATTATTAAATTCTAATCTAATCGCTCTGTACACATACGTTTTCTAATTCGCTACTGGCTGCTAGCGGATTTGAAAAGCAGTAAAGCATGGAGAGGACGTCGCTTGGTCCTGTGACCTTTTTCAAAAAAAAACCAGTCCGAAGCGACTGGTATCGTCGAACACTGCTGAGCTATCACGACTCTACTGCTTGCACACGGTCCTAACCCCGTCGGCGTATGCGACCACGTGCGCACCCTGCAGGTTTTCGTAAACTTTCTGCCGCATATGCACTATGTACATTATTCCGTTTTTGAAATATAACAATTGTATAATTTGACGTTTCCCCTATCCCCTCTTTGTTTTTTCTCAAATATATCATACGATATACCGTGCGCACTATGTAAATAATATACTTTTTTGTGTCCGCATTCCAGGATCATCGCGGACGACCGTCAACAATATAATTATCATATATCGTTTGTTATATTACTATTATTATTATGTACTTGATATGTGTTCTCGTGTTTTGATGATATTGTGAAAAAAATCTTATACAAATTTAATGTTTTTTAGAAGTAGTGCGAAAATTGTTTAGAAAATTATGCCAACCAAAATCTAATATTCTCAATGTTCATTTATTTTTTTAAACCTCAAAATGAACTAAGTTTCCAAATACTCGTTTAAATAATTTTGGATTTTACTCACGGTTTGATTATTTATATTAATATTAGATTACCGTCAAAACGATTTGTATTTGAAAATCGCTAAATTAATATAAGTTAAAATAATAATATGATCCGAACTTAGTGTAACGCAGTAGTCAACCGAATCATTTATTCGTCAGTTTTACTATATTTAACAGCGTTACTGTATAGTTCTTCCAAGAATGAGCACCCGAAAATTTAACAACGATGCCAATTTGTCACCACACTTCCTACCGACAATTGTTGGTTGAATCATATAAAAAAAAACATGAAACTATTGGGCTGTGATGGCTTAAACCGAAAAACAATCAAATTATTCTTTTCGTCCGTATAATTATTGATAATGATTATTATTAGTATATATAAAACGGAATTATTATAATCTGTTCCGATCAAATCATTTAAATTTAAAAACTAAATAATTTTAATACTAATGCACAAAGTTTTAATAACTCGTGTTATATTTTCACATAGGTTAGTCTTTCAACTTAATAATATTTTTTATACAAATCGATGATGTCGCGTATGGCGTATGCCATTTAAAAGAATATTATTATATCGTTACGTGCAATGCACGGTTAAAATTAGAGACCGCTTTGAACTGTTCTATACACTTCGAAACGTTTCACAAATCGTGTACAAATCATAATTATTTATTTCGCGCACATCATATTTTATCGAAAACAAATACTTTCCCGTAATTCGAATTATTTTTATTATCAAATATTATTTTACTTGACTAACGTGAGTTGTTTAACATATAGTTACTAATATCGACGCACAGTGCAGTACGAAAACGATGAACTTTATGATAAATGCGTTAGCACGAGGCTCTCGTGAAACATACTACGTTTCATAAAGTACCATATAATTCACTTGCACGCCGGGACGTCTGTTCCAAACATTTTGAGATTTAGGTGGGAAAAATCGTAGCATTATCGTGTGCACGATATCTGCATCTCACGTCCCCGACCCGCTCACGGAGGCCAAACAAATAGCTCGAAGCAATGGTCTTGCTAAATTTCAGTGCGCAGTGTGCACACGACTGTTATTTTCACGTGTGCGGCGATTCGATAGTATATCGTCAATGGCGAATCACAATGGCGTTGAAAATAATAACCTAACATAACCCTACAGCGAACGAACAAAAAAATACTTTGTATTTTTCGAGTGTACGTATATTTGGCTAACCGCTTTCGCCCATAAAATATTTACACGCAATTGTCGGATATTCCCACTGGACGTGCGAGTCGGACTTGCGTAGCGTGTTTCATCGGAATTGCTTCGGAAACGATAAGAGAATTCCGAAAATCATTTCTCGTCCAAAGCACAACAACCGGCCCCTGATCGGTTGGTCGAATTTTAACATAAATCATTTCAACGCAACATGTTTAAAACGGACCCCTAATACCACCGGAAATTTATTTTGACCGGAAAACTTATTCTGTACGCTGTCAGTGCAATTATAGATCGTAGTAATAATCTCGTGATGTACCTACCGGGTATGCCGGACACTTGTCTTAAACGGACACTTCCCGATTCCCCGTTTCGGACGCAGTTTCCCATCAAAAATTGAAAATCCCAGCCTTATTCTGTATAATTTTTGTAATAGAACTTTCGTTGTTCACGTTTAGCTGCTGAATCGAATACATTATTTTTCTTAGAAATAAAATCATCTAAGGCTATATGAACATAACACGTTGAGATACTTACCTATTTGTAAATACACGGTGTCTGTTACGTTATTGCATGTATCTTACTACATGATGTATTGTACTCGACCTCGTGTCACTTTCGACCGTCACACTCAACACACATACAGCCTCTATATTTTCTCTATATTTATAATATATTCAATTATTTTCACGTGTACTTGTATGTTTATAAAATGTCTATGATACCATATACGTAAGACTTATCATATACAAATATATTTATTATCATTAAACTTGCATATTTTTACCATGTTATATCGAGATGGTATTATATTTAAATCTATTTAATATTTCACTATTATTCCGTTAATTACGTGTACTATGTTTCTATTATTGTAAGATGAATATTATATAAAATAAACTGTTTATTACGATGTAAAGTCATTTGAAATTCCAACAGACCTCAGCGTTGTACCGTTTGCACCAGTTATGTACTCAAGCGCGCGGTACGGTAATAAGCGGAAACCACATCAACATTCGAAGTCTTGTACCAGTTCTTTCGAACATAACGGTTTGATATCATTATTAATGCCGTTCAAATGTCTGAACGTCCATCTGACGGGCTTTTGATGTTTCCTATTTCATTTTAATTCAGAAACATTAATAATATTTATTAATATATACTGTAATTAAATATATATTAATTTATTGTACTTACTGTAATTTTAAGAAAATAAATAAATAAATATAATGTATAAAACTATATAAAACTATATTAAAATGTGTACAATGGCGTATCGTATAGGCAAAATTAATACATTCATGCGAATAGGAAACATTACCTACATAATTCAATTTAAATAGTACATAGAACAACATATTACTCGTACATTTACTCTTCGATCCTGGTGACCTGCGCAAGTATTGAAGTAAGTACCATTCCTTGGTCGGTGCTCGTGCATCATTAGTTTTCTGTCCGAAGGTTATCAAAAGCGTCGTATGAAATTTGTTAAACTTGAATTTGTACAACATCAAAAATATTGTTCACATGTAATTAAGAAACATTAAGATTAAAAAAAAAAGACAGTGAAACCCCTAAACAATGAAAGCTATACTCATACATACATATGACATTTAGACATTTAACGATGTTTAATACTAGATAATAATTATTATATCGATAAGTTAGAGTATAGAGTCTATACTATAGATGATAAACTTTAAAATTGTATGATGTAATTTTAAAATATTAGCACGGGCCAGATAAAAAAGGCTCGGGGCCGCTAATTGCACACCCTTGTTCTATACCATGGTAGGCATCTATCATGGCATCTTAATTTCTTGCTATTATTACTAAATTGTCTGCATAGGCGCAGATTTGCCATGACTTGTTCACAATGCTTCCTGTTTTAATTGTATCTTTTACAGTCTCATGCAGAGCAATGTTGAAAAGTGTTGCTGATAGAGCATCACCTTGTCTAACTCCTGAATCTATGTTAAACGGGTCGCTCATTGATCCTTCTATTTTAAACTTTGCTGTTACGTTTTCCAGGGCCATAGTTATCAGTTTTATTATTTTATCAGAGACACCATTTTTCGCTAGTGCTATGTTCATTGCTGGTCTATTAAAGTTATCAAAAGCTTTGATAGCTACTGTTCTTGCTACTGATCTTATTGACTCTTATTTTCCAATCTTCGCATTAAAGTCGCCCTTTATAATAGTCATGTCGTATTAGGTATCTTATTAGTACATTTATCTAGGTTATCGTAAAAATTATCCTTTTCTTTTTCATCAGAGACTACGGTTAGAGCCTGTACTAAGAGTATTGTGGTATTTCTGAACTTTCTTTTGAGTCTTATTTTGCACACTTTGTTAGATATGGCTTCAAAGTTTAAAAATAACTTGCTCGTTTTCTTGCTTACGTAGAATTCGACGCCATAACTTCATGGTTTCTTTTCCGGTCCACTATAATATAATGTATAGCCTTTCTTATATATGGATCCTTGACCGCACCATCTGAGCTCCAGTAGTGCTACTATATCTATGTTATATTTTATAATCTCTGATGATAATACGTTCATTTTCCCTGCTTGTAATAAAGTTTTTATATTCCACGTTGCAAATGTTCAATCCGTTTTCCTTCGTTTAATCTTCATAGTCTGATTTCCTGGTCTAGTCTTTATCCCATTCTCTATGTCCAAGTTTTGATTTTTTTGCATAACGATACATTTTGCCAGGAGAGGTTGTTAGTCTCTCGCCGTACCCCCAACCAGGAGGGCCAGATCCATTTTGATCGCCTTTTACGATCGGTATAGACTACCGTAGGTGTATTCTTTCCCCCCGCCCACAGGGGAAAATTTATTTAAATATAGGTTTTAAACAATGTTTGTGGGATGAGCGCAATTTTTTAATGACGTTAATAGATACTTGTACTTAGGTTAATTGAAGGCAAACTGCGCCAGCTAATGAAATCGAAAACCATCCACATCAAATGACCTAGTCTTGTAACGAAGTCTATATATGGTAACGTCTCGTACTTTCTGCGTGAAATGGTCTTGTGACGGGCCGTAATGGGTCGCCAACCTATAGCCAGGCATTGGTTGGAGCATATAGGATTTTTTTGTTCTTAATATATATATATGAAACAAGGATAACATATTAAACAGTGTAACGTAAACAATGTAAAAAAAATTGGTAAAAAAAGTATATTAAGTGGGTTCCGAGAAAGCTCTTTTAGGCGTAAAACTCAGACAAAATAAAAAACAAAATAATTAAGTAAAAATCAATAACCTACGAGATATATCTTCCACCGGCTCCACTGGACGGTTACCGGGAGTATATGGTGATAATAATAATGATATATAATTCAAAAAACAAAGATACCGGCCACGATGTAATAAAAACAAATAATAAAAAATATACGTTACCAGCCATACAATGTGTAGCTATGGTGCCGCCCGAAAGCGTGGCAACAAAACAGGGCTGTACTTTTCAATGTTGTATTGCTAACGGCGTGTGGAAAAGAAATGTCGTCGTCCGCCGGTTTAGACCTCTTTCACACAGTCCGTTTTTTTAACGGCAACGGAATCGAATCGGTTGAAAATAGAAAACGGACCATATTTTCACACAATCCGTTTCTTTAACGGCAACGGAAACGGATCGGATGATAATAAAAACTAAACTTAACTAAACTTAAACGGATACCGGATAAAAATTATCGGACACTAAATCGGAAAGTGTGAAATGTTACATCAATTAATGTAGTCTTGATAAACGGTCCGTTTTAAAACGTTCCGACGACGGAAATATATCGAGGCAATCCGTTGAATTGTCCGTTGACGGACCGGTGGGTTATTTGTCCGATGATTGAAACGGATAGTGTGAATAACTAGTATAAACAACTGTTTCCTATCTCTCCGTTTTCTATTTATATCCGATCAGTTTCCGTTGCCGTTAAAAAAACGGACTGCGTGAAAGAGGTCTTAGTCAGTAACAAAGACGACGGGTAATGGAGGCAGTGGGAGTGAGACAATATTAATAGCGATTTGTATTAATTAAATAAAATTAGAATGATTTAAATTAACTGGCCGATATCCTTGTACGATGCATCGGTGGTGTGTGTCCGGACCATGGAAATTACAGAGGGGAGCGTATGTGCATTCGTCGCATAAGCAGGTGTGAAGTTTGATCAATGGACTTGCACCCACTGGACAAGAAACGCTAACACATAAATTATTATATTATAATGATGATAAAATAGGTCATGGAACGCTGGTCGTCACAATGTCTAGTCATATATCATCAATGTTATAAATCGGCCCGATATGTCTTACAAACAGTGTTATGCTTAGTAGGTTTGACGATAAACATTGAACACGTTGTGGATGAGAGTGTGTTGCGTACAATAGAGATGGGCAAAATACATCGATTTTTTAAAAACATTGATATATCGAAACCCTACATCGATGTTTTTATTGCAATGTATTGAAAAAAAATCGATTTTTTTCTAATCCTAAGTCCGATGTTTAAATAACGTATTCATTTAGATACAATTTTTCTTAAAACTTATTAAGGTAAACATCGATGTTTTTGTCGAAAATATCGATTACCAAAATCGATGTTTCAAATATAGATACATTGATGTTTCAAACTTTTTGCCCATCTCTAGCGTTCAGTACAAGTTTTTAATAAATAATGGACGTTTCACGCCTAATATTGTTGTACAATATATTTTGTTGTACAATAATATTACGTACAGTGGTGCTCGCAGGGTGGGTTAAGGGGTTGTAAACCCCCCTCCCCCGAAATTTTCTCCGATGTCTAGGTTAAAATTTACAAATTTTACAAGTTTGAAATATGAAGAGCTAGTATTGAATACCTAGTATCATTGATTATAGAATAGTCTATTCTATTATCAATGCTATTATTTAAATCAAAATATATTAAGGATTTGCATAATTTTGTTAATTGTAAAATGTGTTATATTTTTATCTTGACATCTCCCCTTCCTCCGAAAAAAATCCTGTGTGCGCCACTGATAATGTAGACACATCAAAGTACGAATTCATAGAATTGAGGTCCGGTAATGACAATTACTTAGAGCACATAATTACATAAACAATGGACATAATTTATATATAAATATTGAATTCAAGGCGGTCGAATGATGATGGAGAACGATCAATTTCTGTGTAGGTACATCGTAATGCATATTGTAATATCAATATTTTCTTATCGACAATTATTTCTGTATTTCAGTATTTATAAACCATCTACCGCACAGCTGCAATAATAACCAGTTTATACCAATGGTGTGTTACCTCTGGTTCTAATAGTCTTGTAAATATTCTTTCGGCGTTCGTAATACCACAGAACAATAGTAATACGGGCATGAGACTTCCCCGTACGGACCATACTATGAAATTATAAATAATTCTCACCTCCCATGCATATTATATAGGTAATATATGTCTATATACATAATAAATTATCATTGTTCATAATTAATAATAAATGCTATGTAAAACTATTTTAGAACCAATTTTTGCAAATAAATGTACAAATGAAATTTCTTATTTAGTTATTTATTTTATATTGAATGATAAAATTGTAGATTAATTATTAGTAAGGCTCGGAAGTTGATGCATTTTGCATTTTTTTTTAATTTATGTGTTCATTAATCTATCAAGCTAAAAATCCAATTTAGATGGTGTATTAAAATAATCTGAAATTTTTATTTTGCTTTTTTTGTCTTTATTTCTCATTTATATCATTTTATCACGGTCCTACATTTTAAATCATTTTTTTTTTTTTTTTTGACAAATACGTAATTTTTCTAAAAATATAGTGAAATTTTTTTTACATACATTTAATGCTTAATTTTTTTTTCATTAAATGTGAAAATATCATAAAAATAAAATATAATATCTTATTTCAACTTTTAAATATAGCTTACTGTTGTCAGTGTTACGAAAATATATCAGTACACTAAAATTACTAGCCGTGGTCGAGCTGTTTTTCTCGCAATGTTTGAAAAAAGGTTTATTTATAGTATATAATGTATTAATTAATTAATAAGTATTTCATCTTTTGTGGCCTCAAGGGATTAAATACGACAATGTTTTGCTGTTTTTGAACGATGCAGCGCCATATATGGTAAAGGCTGGTAAAGGCATAAAAATAATGTACTCTAAAATGGAATATGTCACCTGTTTAGCTCACGGATTACACAGTATTGTAGAAGAAGTTTGTAAATATTTTCCTAAAGTTGATCAATTAATATCTAACGTAAAAAAATGTTTTTTAAAGTGTCCTGCCCGTATTCAATTTTTTCGAAAAAAGGCACCGAATATTTCTTTACCGCCACAGACTGTATTAACTAGATGGGGGACGTGGCTAAATGCCGCAAATTATTATTGTGAACACTTCGAAACTTTAAAAGAAATAATATTTGGTTTAAATAGAGAAGACGCTACATCGATTGAGAAAAATCAAGATTTCATGGACAATTGTGATTTGAAAAATGACTTGTTATACATTTACTAGATATAGAGTGATTCTATAACTCAGAAACATTTGGGCTTAGTCTTCACCACTCGATAAAAATTGTACAAGATGTAGAAAATAAAATTCAATAAGCAGAAAATAAAGTAGGACAAGATATAAAAAAAAATTAAAATCCGTTTTGGATAAAAATACGGGCTTTAAACAGTGACAACAATTTCAAAAATTTTGAATGGTGAAAAAGTGTTGAACCAAAACTTTCCAGACGACCTCAATAATTCCGATATTGTTCATTTTCAATTTGCACCAATTACATCAGTAGATGAAGAAAAAAGTTTCTCGAAGTATAAGAATTTACTTTTGGACAATCGCAGGTCATTTACTATAGAAAATATCAAACATGCACTTATTGTTCAATGTAATAAATTTGATAAGGTTTTTTAATTAGGATCATTTTTATATTTTGTTTGAAAAATTTTTTTATAGGATATTTATGGTTTATATTTAAATAACAATTTTTAACAAGGTGTTAAATAAAAGGTTTTTTCTTAAAAATATAAAATAAGTCATTTTTTTTTGCATTTTATGCTATATTTAAATAACAATTTTTAACAAAATGTTAAATAAAAGTTTTTTTTCTTAAAAATATAAAATAAATAATTTTTTGCATTTTTTAGTTAATAAAGTTATTTTATTTTATAATTTAACAATTGTTGTGTCATTTTTTTGCAGTCATTTTCCATCATTTTTAGATCATTTATTCATATTTTTTTAGGTCATTTTTTAAGGTTCTTTAGGTCATCAACTTCCGAGCCCTAGTTATTACTAATGATTAGCTACATATTTTGTGAATTACCTAGATAAATTTATCTAGATGGCTATGATTTTTACCTAGATGAAAATTAAATGTCAATTTTATTTTTTATCTAGATAAGATAACAATATGAAATTTTTATCTAGATAAATTTATCTAAAGCACAACACGAATAGAAAGATAGAAAGTAGACTAAGATCTCATTGCACGGTATTTTATGGATAGAATTTTGCAATATCATGTTTTGATAAAGGCCTGTTTTGGTAAAATACTTTCTTTTTTTTTAGTTGAAGACCTTTTATATTCAATAGTTACAGAATTAACAGTAATATAAATATACGCAATACAAGTTTGACAATGATGATACAATATAAAATAGGCGATAGCGTGAAACGAAAAAAGACAATTTTAATAGATACTAAATATTTATTATATGATAATAATAATAAAAAAGAAGAGATATTAGAACATAATTAAATAAGGAAATCCATTGACTAATATAGAATACGTATCTAGGCAAGACATATAGAAGAACAGAACAAATATTTTAGAATTGAAGAATTTTGTAAAAAAAAATATAATAATAGCGTTTTAAAATTATCGTAAAATGTTTAAATAAAATTATCAGGCATATCCGAAAATGATATGTAGGCAGTGATTTTGATGTAAAGTTGTTTTTACTGAAAATATCATAATGCTTTTCCACAGAAAAAATGTAGGTTTAGGCCAATAAGCATTTTTACATAGCGGGTAACGATTTTCAAAAATAATTTTCTCATTTTCATTTTATTCGACGCGTTTCTTTATTTAGACAGTCGTTTATCAATTTACACGTTCACGGCCACTCCATAATTTGAAAAGTCGTATAAAAAAAATCACAACATAAAATTCATAAAATTCCATAGATATTATACAATCTATGGATTATATTATATCTATGAAATTATATACAATCTGTGGTATAATAAACAATCTATGGATTGTATAATATCTATGGAATTTTATACAATCTATGGAATTTTATAATATATTTGGAATTATATACAATCTATGGAATTATATTATATCTATGGTGTTTTATAGAATCTATGGATTATATTATATCTATGGTGTTTTAAACAATCTATGGAATTGTATAATATCTATGGAATTTTATAATATCTTTGGAATTATATACAATATATAGATTATATTATAACTATGGTATTATATACAATCTATGGATTATATATTATCTATGGATTATTTTATATCTATGGAATTATGTATTATCTTTGGAAATATAAACAATCTATGGATTAAATATAATATATGAAATCATATACCAAGTAAATACACATGACACCAACTAAAGTAACATTTCTTCTGAAATCTAAATGTGGCATACTTGTTTTTTACTTATTGTACAAATAATTAGCATTCCATAAGCATATGTCCATAGTGTAAAAAAAAACTTTAATATACCAACGTAACCATTTCTTTGGAGTCTAGTAGTATCTTATCGTTTGGTCTGCTCGGTCTATACCTGACATATTATTATTATAGTCAAAAACTATGGAAGGTTTGAATTTACTTCATCCAATTACAAATCTTCAAAAATCAAACTGTAAACATATGCAAGAATCATACAGCGTGTCACTCTTAAAAAACAAAAATAGTATGTCTACAATGAACACTACTAATATCGCTAACCAGCTGTTAGAAATTAAAACCAAGTACACCAATCTATACACAAAAAACCTTGTTATCATAATATTTATTAGAATAAATCATAGTCAAATAATTATTTATACAAATGAATGGACACCAAATCAACTATACTTAACATGGATTTATCTAAAGAGAATCCTGGGTCAACTATAATTGACACGTAGCCGTAAACGTGTTAAAGGTTAAATAAGATCCACGTGATTCTCGCAAACAGTGTATCAGATAAAAACAAAAAAAATTAATTACCATCGAATATCGAAGAAACCATAGGCATGCGCAGATTCCTGTTTCCGGTGTAGCTTTTATTTTTATTTTTTGATCACCCACCCCCTTATAAAATCCCGCCTTAAAAGAAAAATAGATATATAAAACATAAGTAAGTAGAAATAAAATTTATTAGAAAAACTAACGTACAATCTGATTATTAATGAACGCTAGTCCCCGCAATTTTAATTTTTTGTAATTCGATAAAATTGATTAAAAAAAATTTCGATTTTCTAAAAAAAGAATTATTAGCCCTTTTTACCTACGTACTTAGTACCTACCTACCTAAAAAAAAAGTCTCAGATGTGGCTATAGCCCTATAAGCCACACCCGTGCGCACACCTATTAAACAAACTATAGCTATATAATATATATATATATATATTTATTCGTAGTTACGATTATACAACAAGTAATTAACTGTAAAAAATAGTATGATAACGATTTGATACATCTCTTGTAGAAATGATTTTATTATCAGCTCTCCCATGGTGTTTACATAAAACATTTTGAATTTACGATTTGAGTTCCGTGTTCGAAGTACTCGTCTTTGCTGATACATTGTCGCTGGAAATCAGGCGCGGATGCCATGACTGAACCGCCGATCCATGCTGCGTACCTGCGTTCGGGATTCGCAATAATCCTTGATTTCAACACATTTTCCAAACGTGTCTGTAGCCTCGGGAATAGCGTGTTGCCGCCAGCCAATACAATGTTGTTGGGCATGTCTTTATATTCGTCAATACTGCGAATAGTGAGCGCTTTGAATATGATTTCGTGGACACCTCCAAGTTTGGACTCGATGTTGAACAAACCCGGATTGAATAGAATCTCAGGGGCTCTAAAACTAAAATCATAAAATATTTTATATCACTTTGACGCTAAAACTAACAAAGGATTTTTTCTTTTTTAATAATGATTTGACATCATACATCAAAGGAAGAAAAATTTTAACACATGGCGATACAAATAATATATAAACTAAAATACGGTAATACACTTTTATGTATGGCCTCTATACATCGTTAAAAACTAAATGAGCATATTACGTAACAACAAATTTTTTAAATGTACCTAGAAAGAAACCCTTTCCCCTCCCTCGAAATTCAGGAGAATCATTGAATATTTTTTTATAGAGAGAGAGTAGTTTATAGATTATATAAGTATGAAAATATAAAATGTAAAACCCTCCCAAAATATTTTTTTGTGTACACCCCTGATTACAATAAATTTTAATAGTCATAAGACAGTGTGCCTAAATATTATACAGCTGTATACATTTCTCCGCGTACGATAGTATCTGAGCACTCCATTGTATACTTATTTTTACATTTTAAATCCCACTGATTGTTTTTGTGTGTTGACATTTTACCTGAGCTCATTATTTTCCAAACATTTAATCTCTTAAGTAGCAGCTTATCTATACATACTTAGCATTAAAAATATATGCAAATAAAAGTAGAAAAAAATTACTAACGCTTCGCTTCTGACTTGGACGAAAGACCCGTCCGGCAGTCGATATTGTTTGCTGTCACTCTTGACGAACTCCTCGGCGCCAACAAACGATTCGGCCAATTCTCTCTGGAAGTCCAACGCGCTGTAGCACTGCTCTTCTTTGACCGTTCTCGCAATGTCCCAATCCTTCGGCGTAGTGAAATTGAAACCGCGATCGTTCAACAACCGTATCATGTACTGGGTCACGTGCCGTCCGCCGACAGGCATGCGTTCGGTTTTCAGGTAAGCGATTCCCTCGTAGACGGGCACCACCCGCGTCTCATCGAACCCGGACTCCACCACCAGGCCCGTGGTCACGCCACTGGCGTACAAAGCGAGCGTCGAGGTTGTCACCAGCGCGGTGCTGGGCACGCCGAACTGTTCGAACATGAGCTATATGGCAAGCCAATCGACGACACGGTGAAAAACAAGCATAGTGTTGTCTCCCCACCCGAAATCAAATCCATTTATGGCATAACACTTAAAAAGTTCTGTGGATTTTTGATCGCAAAGTCGTTACGGATTTCGTCGAGTAATGTCAACATTTAAAAAATTCAAAGGATCAATGAGTAGAAATTTACTTGAAAAAATAATGCGAGAAACTTTGTCCAAGGTTTTCAAGATATTTTAACTACATTTTTCGGTGAGAGGGAGGATTTGTAGCAAAGAGAAAAATCAAATTTTCAAACATCTATTGTAAACAGCGCAAAAGGAAAATATTTTGAAAATTATATGATTGTATACTAACATATTTTTGTTGGAATATCGCACATCACTACCATGGTTTAATAATGGTATTCATAAATATAGTATATACTATGTCCAATACACGAACCCGATTAAGAAATACTTTTCGAATATTATATACAACTGTATCAGCCGTTTGTGTTGCGCTAATTTTTGTAAACTTATAGCCGTACTATTTTGTATAATTATACAAAACGCATTATACATTAATAACTACATTACTACATTAACATAACATATTATTAATGAAATGCCTATTTACAAATTTATAATTAAGAGATAAATACTAAACCTCGATTAGTTTTTCACGATTTGCCGGCGGATTGTCGACCGGTTCGGTGTGTAAAATGCCATGTTCTTCGGACGGCGTCATCAGTTTGTCGTAATACATGTGAAACCAAAAGTGTTCCATGGCGTCCCAATCGGTAACTATACCATTGTTTATCGGACGACTCGTAACCAAAACGCCACGGTTTTCTGCAACGGTCTGACCGACGTACGTAGCCTTTTGTCCGTATCCAACGGTCGACATCTAAATACAACGGCAATACGGGCGAATATTTAAATTCTACGTATTAACCACATAATATATAACATAACATATTATCGCAAAAGTTTCGATAACGGTTATTTCTCGGTTACTTTTCATAACTCATAGATGTTTTCAGTAATGTAAAATGCATTCGTTTTTGACGACTTAAGATTATTTATTTTTTTTTTTTTTGAGGGTGCAGTTACTACAAAGAATTATCAAAATCCAAAAAAAATGTTTTATTCTCAAACACGCACAAATAATCAAACTACTTCTCAACCAAATAGACATTTTATTAAATACAAATCATACGGCACCTAATGAACGGTTAATTAACGTTATCTCTCACCCAGAACGTAAAACTTAAGCTAATGCAACGAAATTTAACAATATCGCAGATAATGACTTCATGCAAACACTATTACCGTTGATAAACAATTTCGTTACTCAACTAATGCAGCAAATTATCGAAAGTCTGCCAGTTATCATTAATACTCTAAGCACTAATACTAATGCAAAACCATAATATAATTATGCTAAATTGGAACGCCAACGGTATCAAAAATTACTTAAACACATTATCAACTTTCCTAAATCATCATAACATCGACATTGCCTGCATCACCGAAACGCACTTATCTAATGTGGACAAAATTAAATTCGCTGGATACAACGTTTATCGTGTGGATCGTAACTCACCGGCACGTTCCATGGGCGGCGTAGCAATATTAGTCCGCAAAAAAATTAAGCACCATCACATACCCATACCCGACCTTCAAAGCCTAGAAGCCATAGGAGTACTAATACACATTAATAATAGATCTATTTTACTTGTCTCCGCTTATCAACCTCAAAGTCGTATAATGCACATCTCAGATTACGAAAAAGTAATGAACCTAAATTACAATGTTATATTGGCCGGCGACTTAAATTCGAAGCACACCAATTGGGGCTGTCGCGTCGTAAATCCAAACGGAAACAAGCTCCAAAAATACATATCCGATACCACGTGCACTATATCTGCACCTAGCAAACCTACTTATTATCCATACTATAATAACAGACTACCAGATATACTAGATATCTTATTAATTAAATCAATCCCATTCAATATTACACAGGAACCTCTCGCTGAATTAGACTCGGACCACAATCCGGTCAAAATAAATATAAACTCTCCATTGCAATTTTATCATTCAAATAATTCAATAATAAAAGGCAAACCAAATTGGAACATTTATTCGGATTACATTAACAAAAATCTAAATATACCTAAAAATATACCTACAAAACAATTAGCAGAAGAGTTGGCCGAACATTTCACTGACATTATCACAGACGCCGCACGCGCGTGCTCAACTACCACACCATCTAACTCGTATAGCCACCGCGCCCTACCAGAGTCTATCTTATCACTAATTCAACAAAAACATACCAGACGTACATGGCAAAATCACAGAAACTCCATAGATAAAAAAATATTAAATAAACTAACCAAAGAAGTGCGAACCGCACTTCAACTTTTTCGTGTAAATTCTTACAAAAAATTTTTGTCAAATATTCATCATAGTGACTCCACTTTATGGAAGGTCACAAATAGATTACTTAATAAAGAAACAAACATTATTCCCCCACTCCACACCTTGTCACGGCTTGTCATATCAGATGAAGAAAAATGTAAAGTTTTTTCAGAAAACCTGCGAAACACTTTTTCTCTTAACCACTTTGCTAACAACTCTAACGATCTCAGGATCGAACGGGTTTTAAAAAAACCTAATTATTCGGTTCAAAATTCATTAAATTATGTTACCCCTAATGAAATAAAAGTAATCCTCAAAAGATTACCTGCTAAAAAATCTCCTGATCATGATCGTATCACAAATCTTTTACTTAAAAAACTACCAAAAAAGGCAATTCTTTATATGACTTCTCTTTTCAACGCTTTACTTCGTCATGGTTGTTTTCCGGAGAACTGGAAAAAAGCAATTGTTATTCTCATCAAAAAAACCCGGGAAAGATAATTCAAACCCGGACAGTTACAAACCAATCAGCCTGCTAACATCTCTTTCAGAAGTGTTTGAAAAAGTCATTCACTCTAGACTGTTATCACACCTAGACTGCACTGAAACTATTACGAAATTTCAATTTGGCTTTAGAACACACCACTCAGCTACACAACAACTTTTACGCTTATCCGAACACATAAGCAACTCTTTCGAAAAACACTGCCACGCAGGTGCCGTTTTTATTGACATATCCAAAGCTTTTGATAAGGTATGGCATCAAGGATTGTTGTACAAACTCAAAATTATTAATACACCAAATTACATATTTAATATAATCAGCAAATTTCTTTCTAACAGACAGTTCTCTGTAAAAATAAACGATAACTATTCTGATTATGTACCCATAACAGCCGGCGTGCCTCAAGGCTCAATACTTGGTCCTACATTATTTAATGTTTATACATCGGATATACCTCAAACGCCACGCACTAACATTGCTCTCTTCGCCGACGACACAACGATATTCACCGAATCCCGCAATATTGAAGCCATAACAGAAAACCTACAAAACCACTTAAATATCTTATCCTTTTGGTGCAAAAACTGGAAAATTTCGATAAATCCTTCAAAAAGCGCAAGCATTATGTTCAGTCTATGTCGTAACAGTACTCCATCCTCGCTCAACTTTAACAACGTACCAATTCCTTGGAAACCGACCGTAAAGTATCTTGGCGTTACGTTGGACAAAAGACTAACCTGGTGGCCGCACTTATCATCAAAAATCCAACAAGCTTACCAACGCCTTGCAATGCTGTTCCCTATTTTAAACAGGAAATCAACTTTAGAGAAAAAATGTTCACTACTTATTTATAAGCAAATACTGCGCCCTTTGATTACTTACGCTTGCCCTATCTGGGGCAAATGCGCTCTTACCCACATAAAAAAACTCCAAATATTCCAAAATAAGACTTTAAGAATAATAACCAACGCTCCATGGTTTGTAAGAAACCAAAGTATTCATAAAGATCTCAATATTCCAATACTTCAAGACCACATTAAAAATCTGGCTGACAGTTTCTTCAAGTCTATTCAAAAATCAACGGGTTCAATGCACTACAAACTCAACATAGGACCACCGATCCAACGCCGCCTCCGACGCGGACGACCACACGACCTACTTTCATAAATAAACATTTAAGCTAATGCCATCAAAACTGTCACTACTATGTATGGTACACTTCGTATTTAATTATTGTTAATTAATCTTGTTATCTGTTCTTTCTTTTTTTTTTTTTTTTCTTAAATCGTTACCTTGTTATAAAAGTCAAAAATTAAAATTTGTAAATTATCTCTAGATATAGATAGCCTACTGTTGGCTAGGAATGTCTTAAAACAAATAAAACAATATACGTTATTACTGAAAATCATGATAAATATATATAAATATACATACATAAACTTTTGTAATCAATTCTGTTGGTTTTTAATTTTGTTTGTAGTAAAGTCATAATATATCAGGTAACGTTTTGATGAACACCACGTCTATTTTACCAATATTGTTTAAAATTCGTTCTTATTATCCTCGTAATTATGTTTCGTTTTTTGTCTCATTGTTAAGTTAATTATAATAAAATATTTGTCATTTTTCGAGTGACTACTCAACCACGTATTAGTTTAACTATAGAACCGTGTTGGTCGTAACGTTTCAAATCAAAAATAATTTTAAAATATATGATAATAGAATTCTGCATACTTCTTTCCGGGGTGACCCGACCAAAGTTGGTAATATTAATTCAGGAAGTTTGTCTTGATTAAAACCAACCTTCAGCGAATATGAACCATTATCACACACTATTGTAGTAAAATCATCTAAAAAATATAAATCAAATGCGAGGTTCAAAGTTGACTGCGGTTATCACACTACACAAAATTTTGGATATTAATTTGATACCCAAACCGCATGTTTATTTTTTATTTTTTCATATAAAAATATAATTAAAATCTATTACCTATGTATAATAATTAATTTCTATAACATACTTAAAAATTACAATAAGAAAAATTACAGATAAAAAGGTACCCAGTAGTATCACCCATCAAATTGATTTGATAGAACAAGAATAGGTCCCTAGGACAGCATATTTTTAGGCGTATGTTGGGATTATTGGGTAATATTTTAATTTCACTGATGGACCAGTATTGATAAACGTTGAAACATTATTAAGGTATTATTTGAAGCCATTATTATTATTATTGTATCATCGACACATGTACCGATAAATGTATAATGAGATTTGGGGTAAATTAATCAAAACTTAAATAAAGAAAAAGTACAACCTCGGAGGACTCCGATTAGTATAGAATATTTCGTGGAGTATCAGTTATTAACTCTCATCTCGAATACGCGATTTTCTAAGTAGGATTATATCAGGAGATAATATGGAACTGGGAGGAATCTTTAAATTTAAGAATCCCTTGTGTCCTAACCTAATAAAGGCCTATGCCACGTCTAGAAGAGCCGTTGCACAGTCAAATTTTTTTTCCTAATCGATAATATAAAATCAACGGTACGGTCAAGTTAGTGGATTGGTTTAAATTCAAACTGGTGATTTAGATTTTCATTATGATTAGATCTCCATCAAACCATGTTTGTGTATGGTAATGCAGTTTTTTTTAGATGAATAACTAATAAATATAGTAAACTAAGTACACATTATAGGTACGTATGACTCCAGATGCTTGTGGATGGATCTGCACCACCGAAAAGTTTAGGGAAAAAAAATTATATAACTTATAAGAATCTAATGATTAACGTACTCCGCATTAATACAATTTGAGGGGACAAGGGGCATAGCTACCTACATTTATTGAACATTTTTTTTTTTTTTTATTAGTTCATACATAATCAGTATCTTATAAGAAAAAAATGTTAAAATGAATTCAAAAATTTATTTAATTATGAGATTTTATAGCTAACTCGATAATCAGTTTATAAACATGTTAATAAATAATTAATTTGGATTGATAAGTGTAGAGTTGTTTATTGTACTTCATATAACAAGTATTTGGTTTTTGCTAATAAGTATCACATTGAATATTCATTTTTTATACTATAATTATAAAAATTACTAGTGGGTGCGGGGCCAAAGCCCCTGCGGATCTGTCCAACCTGCATAATTTAAGTACCCTCTTCACAAATTGTCAAAATTGAGCCTGTGATCCTTAGAGTATTTGACTATTTTATACAAAACTAAACCAATAGCGACCGTCACATAGTTCGATTCATTATCAGTAATCGTGTAAGCCATTAAACAAAACGCCCAAACTTCCGTTTGCATTTATTTATTAACATTTTTTTTTTTTTAATATCGCTGAACCAGACCAATGAATGTGGCACTAGCTAAAATCATCTAATATTAATGTTTCTTTTAGATAATTTTTTCTAGGAGAGTATTTGAAACAATCTTAGTTCATTTATATTACACTAAGAAAAATTAATTTATTGATAACACGTGAGTTATCTTTATCTGTTATTTATAATTGTATTCAACATAATAAAATACACATTTTTTAACAAATTGAACACATATATACGCACAAAGTATTATTATATATCAACTTTGTTTTAAATTAGGTACATTGTGTGTTAACTTAACACTGTTAAATGTGCGTAAAACAAAATCTTATAACCTTACTTTTATAAGTATTTCTAAAGGGACCGAATTCAGTGTTTTTCTTGTCTACGTATAAATGAACCGTTTTTTTTATTGCCCAACAATAGTATTTATGCAAAGCATACGCGTAAACTAATTAAATTAAAACAATTTTTTTTTTCAATCATTAACACTGACAATTTGACATTATCAATAGATAGGCAACGTTGTGCTAATAATTAAAACATTTACCAGATAGGTACGATTGCAAAACAAACGCGTATAATATAATACCTGCAGGTTTCGTAGTCATCTTATTGAATGCCTAATTGGTTGATAAAATGAATGCTATACGATCTAATTCACAGTCAAACGAATTGAATTCAAACGAAACTGTAAAAGCAACTATACCATGTTAACGGACGAAGATAATATTTTGTTTGCGCACATCTTTCGCATAGATTCTCGTTGAATGTAAAATATACAATGTAACGTCCATGTATTTTCGCCCTTTGGTAAAGCATCAATGGTACACGTTGGTATTATATGTATAGACACTTCTCTCTCTAATATATTAGTTTACCTTTGCACATTGTTTCACAACCTTTTAACCCACAACCGATCTTAGTACAGAAATTCTTCTTCGTGTACCTATCCGATTTCGAATGTTGACGACTATTCCAGCGCAACGTTCTCTCTGTCAATTACAACGCGAAACAACTCTGATTGAGCTATTTCCAAACCATTCACTTAGATTTCGAAGCCACGATACGATGAGATTTTCTTCTTCTGCCGGGGGGTTATTATGTGAATAGAATACAACCTTTTTCTGTCATATGTTTCCCACGCCGGCAACACTGTTCAAGGTAAGTATTTTTTGTACAACATTGCTAGTTTTGCTCTATTTACGTATGTCAAATGTTTTCATTCATCAAAATTAAATATTATAATTTTAGCTCATAAATCATAATGAATCGAAATAAATTAAAATACTAGTATTCTATTTTGTTTTTGCCGCCACACGATTTTTAATCACATAATCGATTCTAGCAAAAAAACGCATTCATACATGGTTTCATTACGCGTAGTGTAATCTAATTGTGTTGCAGTAGCGTATTCGAGAAGGAGGTGATGGGGGCGATCGCCCCCCTCCCCATTGCCCAAGTTATTTGTATATATTATAAATTTATGTTAAGAAAATATTACATTTAAACTTTAGGTAACGGTCCAATATGTGACTCGCACACTGATTTACGGTCCAATACGCAAACTACGTCATAAATGTAAAATACAAATAATTTTAACTAACCTTTTTTTTCTACTTCTCAGTGTCGTCAATAAATATATTGTTTCAATCCATATTGTTATGAAATGTCTTTTCATATCGATCAAAATAGATTTTGTATTTTGATATGATCTTCACCACTCTTCTTAGAGTTGTCTACATAGTAAAGGAGACGCCCCATTCTTTTTAATATTATATTTAGATTTTGTAATTCTTCATAAGCTTTCAATTTGTTGAGTATGTGCTCCTATATCCAGGTCAATAAAAATTCTAAATGGTTAACTATGATGATTTAATGTTAAGTACGTTCTACATTGGTCACTATAAATTATCGTTCCAGTTTTTATTTCATTTTGAATAATTTGTAAAAGATAATTTAATAATAATAATTTGTAATAATTTCTCGGTCCCAAAATATATAAATCATATTCCTATAAATAGAATAAAATGCCCGTAACGACATTAATCGCGGTAACGAAACATGTAGATTAACACAATCTTATCGATAGGTCGAGTAACATTTGTAGGTCGTATATAGGACCGTTATCAAATTTTAAATTTATTGTATTTTAATAACGTTTCTTAAGATGTGCAATGTATAAAAGCAAGTATAAAATGGACCAATAGGTATGTATTCAAGAAAACAAGCATATATATAAAAAAAATTTTGTACTTAACAAGTGTATAATGCTCGTAAATTTAATACCGCCCCTCCCCCTCCCCCCATAAAATTAAGACAAATACTCTACTATCGTGTTGCTAGAACAATAATAAAAAGTTGTGTATTATACAATAAATATCATTAAAATTATATACTTTGAATAAAGCATGTGCAAAATGCCGCATACTTGTTAAATTATATTTTATACTGAATTATTTATTAGTTCAGTGTTGTAATTATTATTATCTATAGTTATAGGTAACTTCACCTAGCCCGGAGACACCTTTTTTTTTTACATTTTTGATTGTATTTTTACATAAAAATTACATTCAGAATTCTGCTAATTAACTATATCTTTTAATTACAATATAATATAATTATCGTTATCTTATTTAAATATTTTATTTTCTTGTCTCTTCAATTCACCCATTTTTTATTATAAATAGAGTAAGTTTATTTGTATCACAAATTCAAATAGATATATTAGAATATTAAATACAGTACGCCATATTTTGGTAACCTGTATGGTGGGCAGCTCACTTTTAAATAAAAGTTGTTTCTCTTTCTTACATTGAGTTCAAGGACTGATTTCTATAAAATAATAATTTCAAAAATATACTTACAATAAACATATTAATATAAATAAAAAATATAATAAAGGGTGTGGTATTTTAAAAATGGCAAACATTACATAAGCAGATACATATTACGTTTAAACGTAAACATTTCTCGCATCAATTTTTTCAATGGTGGTGGAGACGTAACTAAATGTTCACCAGAATGGATTCGATCAGCAAAAGTTACATGTACTAGACGCAAGTTACACTACAACCAGTACCAACTCGACAATTGAACCATTTTGGTTTAAATTTAAACAATGTCTAACATCATTACTAACACTATCAAGACTACTTGATTCTAAATATATGTGCACCATACATTTGTAAAATGTACCTATGTAAAAATGTATGTCACTGACAAAACAGGACAGAATTTATCTTCGATGGCACAATATGATAAATAGTTAACACTAGTAAGATAAACATTGATATCATCTTCTTGAAATAAACATGCATAATATATATAAACATATATATATTATAAAGGTATAGCAACTGTTTCACTATCTTTGCAATCAGTATTTAACTTTTCTTGGGTTGATAATTTTTCCAAAGTATTTATATTTACTTCAGTAATATTATCAAGAACGGGTTCACTCATTGAGTACTTTATAGGATTTTGGTTGTAGTGTTGGAAATATTGTTGATATAGCTTGAAAAATTGTTCATCACGACCAACAATAACTGATTTTTCATTTTCAACAATACTGTCCTACAACAAAAGTTAAATACATTTATACAGTAAGGATTTAAATTTTATTATATATGATGATTATTAAATAACTACATAGAAATAAAATCATAACTACAATAGGTAATAATGAAATTAAATTAAAAAATAACTATAAAATTGTTTAATGATTAATACTCTAAAAATAATAATTAAGTAATCAAACATTTTATAATAAATTCAAGAAGTTAAAAATTATAAAATATTCAACAATTAATTTTACGTATAATATATATATATATATTTAATCAATGATAACATATTGTATATTCACATTGTCAAAAAAAAAAAGGAATTCTCTTCTTCTTTAACTTGCTTAACATAATAAAAACATATATTATACTTTTATAATAACTTATAACTAAAAGAACATCACTGGGAAAAACATTTTCCAGAACAGAATTCTGGCTAGTAGAAGTTAGTCTATAATAAAATAATAAATAAATAATTCTACATAAACATGATTTACTGAAAATACAAAAAAAAACCTACAGTAATTCCAGCTGATCATAAAAAACGATTAAAAGGAGTTAGCACAAGGAAGCGCAGTCGGCTACTACCGACCAATGGTGATTAATATGAGATTTAAAATAGACATACTATGAGTGAACGAAGTTAGATGATCAAGAAACAGTGATTTCAATAAGACGACGACCACATTATATATTCTGGTGATGAAACATCAGGACGGTTGTGTGTAGGATTAATAAATCCTATTTATATTAATAAATAAAATATGGGGCTACCAAATTATGAACAAAATAACATAGAATGATAGGCTTATATTGATTTAACTTACGAGCCAAACCAAATTATATTGTACTAATCCAAGTGCATTTTCCAACGTCAGGTATAGATGACGCTAGGTGTATTCTGGTCTAGAAGAGCTGTGCAAATTAGCAAAAGGAAAAAATAACTGAATAATAATGGGTGATTGCATTTTTATAATTGAAAAAGCTGCGGATGGTTTAGAAGTAAGAAGCATTCGGTCTAGGATCTAAAAATAAAAGAGAAAAATGCCTTGTAGATTTCTGTAAGGAGCATATGGCCATAGCTAATACATTCCAAAAAAATTACCATAGAAAATTTCAGAGGATATCAGAAAATATTAGATTAACTATATCATAGTAAAGAGGTTCAGGTATCAAGTACATAGATGCAAAACATACCTAAGAGCTGACATAAAAAGCTCGAAAAACAAGAAAATATAACTTGAGAATGCTAGGAGATAAAATAACATAAATACAACCAATGCATCCTACACCAATGACAAATAAAATTCGCCATTATCAAATGACACTGAATATAAATGAAATATAAAATAAAACAAGCCATTTATGATACAGCCAGTAAAATGTTGAAAAAAAATTCAGCAAAGCCTAGGAAATCATGGATAAACAATAACATCATAAAAGTGGGAAGTCTTAGAAAGTCTAGGATTCTAGGACTCTAAACTTAGGAAATCTAAGAACGCCAAGAATAATCATGGAATACAGAGATATAAGAAGTTAAAGAATAAAATTAATGGAGAAACTAAATTTTAAAGAGAAAAAAACATTAAAAGAAATGTGACAATAAATGGAGCAGTTACTTAGGAAAAACAGGAACAATTATTTAATATTATTAAGAAATTCCTCAGAGTAAAAACAAAATTAAATAGCAAAAAATATGGAAAGTTGATATTGAATAAAAAAAAAATAGCAATAAAATAGAAAAAATATCATAAAGCTCTATAATAGAAGGGGAAGCAGTCAGTCTCATTAATAATAATAAACCAGATTTGCAAGAATTAATCTTAAGAGATAAATTCTTTTAAGTTAATGAAAACATATAAGGCAGCCGGTATAGTCAAAATAATTATGAAATTTGTTCATAATGCAAGTGAATGATAAATACACAACGGAAGAAATTCCAGAAGACTAAGGAAAACATCATAATACATATACTTAAAAAAGCAATAGGTGATTTATGAATTCAGAACGAGTTTAATGTAAAAGTTTAATGGTATCTGTAGCTAAAATCCTAGTTAAAATAATATGCAATCGAACTGAGAAAATAATAAAAAAAAAATAATTAAACAACAATCAATTCAGGTTCAAGAGGAATAAAAGTACTAGAAGCAATCTTAAGTTTAAAAATATTGATTGAAAAACAAATAGAATTTAGTAAAGCCACATTTATAGATTTAGAAAAGACTTTCGATAAGATACCATGAAAAGATCTATTAAATACTTTAGAAGAAATAGGAATTGACTACAGGGATGGAAAGATAATGTATAATTTATATAAAGATTAATCAGCTACAATAAAAGTAACTCACAAATCAGAAACAGCAATAGTTATGAAGGGAGTACATAAAGAATGTCCACTCTCACAAACTCTATTTAATATTTTTATTTAACAGTCTATTAAAGAAATTAGAGAAACATTTCTCAAAAATAAAATAGGCATAGATGTAGGTGGAAAAATAATAAAGCTCATAAAATTTGTTTACAATTTTGCACTCTGAGCCTTCTGAACCAATAATAAGCAAAATTTAGAAAAATCACTAGAAGAGATGACAAAATACTTCTAAAAATATCATTACATATTAACATAATTAAAGATATTGTAAAGGAATAAATATCATTCAAGTACAGAAAGGATTTCTTAATATATATATATATATATATATATATATATATATATAAGAAAGGGTATTGCATTTTAAAAATGGCAAAAACTTCATAAATAAAAAAAATTGTCAATAAAAACAAATGATCTATTTTTTTAAAATTAGTTTACAAAATATCAAAGTCATATTGGTGTGAAAAAAATACATTTTAAAACATACCAGTGTTTCATAAAAATAATATTTATCATAAGTAGTTAAGAAACGTCCATAATAGATTATGCATCCATAGTAGATGTTCTAAATCAAATTATTTTAAGATATATTATTTATTTCTTACATTTTTACACCCGAACAAGTTACCAGTTCTTCTCTATCACAATTATAAATGAAGTTAAAAAAAAAAATTCAGATTTTTCTAGAAATAATTTAATTGTGTTGAGGAAGATAGTCAAAATAAATAAATAAATACACATTATTGATCTAGATAAAATAAAATGGAAAAAAAACATATATATTAACTAGATAAGTATATGAATGTTAAATATATACATACATATTAGTTAAAATTTAAATAATGTAGATGAATATTTAACAATTTTTGTATTAAACACCTACAAGACAATTTAAATAGATTCTTTAATGTTGTCATCATCATGCCAACACTCACTGTCTGATGGCACAGGAGTAAGTTCTCTAGCAGGTCTTGGTGGTGTAGTGTTTTTCCCAGGTATATTCTGATCATCAGTATCATTTAGTGAATCATCAGACCTTAAAACACTATTATTGAATGTATCTATGATTGGTAAGTCTTCAAGGCGTTGGCGACTAATATAGTACTCAATCACAGATGATGTAGTTGTCTTAATAGAAGGAGTTACCGTGGCAACTTTTTTGTTAACCATAGTAAACTTGGTACGCACTTTTGATTTTTTAAACGGATACATATTACGTTTAAACTTAAGCATTTCTCGCATCAATTTTTTCAATGGTGGTGGCGATAATGGACGACCATTATCATCATGTGTTGGAGATGTAGCTAAATTATCACCAGGGTGGATTCCATCAGCAAAAGTTACACGTTTAGGCATTCTTGAGGTACTTGTTGTATTACTTCTAAATGGAATAATTACATTGTCAATACATTTTATCATAAAGTAAAATATATTAACAGTTTAATTAGTTACAAATATTATATTCTTACAATTTTTTAGATAAGATACTGATGGTTGGTGGCTGAAACAGTCCCAAAAATGGATGTTTAACTGTTTCCATGTTGTCACTATAGTGCACCATTATTGTGTCAGGCTGTTTTTCTTGAATCTTTTCTTTGGCGCGAACTTTTAATTTCTTAATCAAAATCTAGATAATAAAAATTAAATTATTATTATACAACTATCCTGAAAAATATACAATATACACATCAGTTTATCTTATTTTATATTGAAAAAAAAAATGATATAATCCACGATTTTATTTTATATTCCGTATGCAAGGTAGATGTGAACAAAGGCAAAAAAAAAGGTGTATGGTATGGGTATATAAAATGAGTTATAGTCACTAGTTTAGCAGTTTAATTTTTTATATAGGCAAAATAATGACAAAAATTGTGTGTGACAAATTACCAAATAGTGAGTAATGAATGATAAGATAGTTAGGTGTCCACATTCATGATGGTTATTAGAAGTGCTAAGACTGGCTAATTAACCAAGTAATTTATTGTGAATGTTTTATAAAATATTGAATATATTAAATATTATAATATATTACAGTGTAGTTTATAGTTAAAATAATCAAATAAAATGAATACCTGTTGATTAAAAATTTTATTTATAATTGAAAGATCGTCAACTACTATTTCTTCTTTCAGTGGTACAACATCTATAAAATATAAACATCTATTAATAATGAAATATTATTTAATTTTAATATTATACACAAATAATATTCAGCATTTTTTTTAGATTTATCTACAATAATATACCAATATTTTTAATATAGATTATTATTACCTGATTCTTTCATTTTGTCATTTTTTATTCCTTCTAGCTTCAAAATATTATTATCATTATTTTCTGTAACTAATTCAAGAGTGGTCTTCGCCATATCTTTTTCATTTTTAATTTCAATATTCGAATCTAAATTGATAGACAATGCAGCACTTTTATCGATTTCTATAAAATCTGAACTCTTAATCGAACTCTGTGGTTGTTTTGTAATATCTACTGGTATCTCTACATCAGCAATATTTAGTAATTCGTTTTTATCATTATTTTCCGATGACTTCTGATACAAATTTAAAGTAATATTTTGTTTTTCTTTTGAACTTGTTTCAAAGTATGAATCAGAAAAGTCACTAGTATCAGTATCATAATCTGAAGAACTAGATCCTTCTTGATTGATGTCAGCAACAGTTTGATCAACATCATCAAGGTTGTTCCCTCCATACTTATTAAGTATACATGGATCATCCAGCCAAGTGTCAACATTTTCATCACTTACACTATTTATAATTTCCCATTCTCCTTCAACTGTATATTTATTATTATCTTCGCAATCATCATTATTATCTATAAAACCATTTTCTTGACCTGAATCTGATTTACTAGAATCCACATCATCATCACCATCACTAAACACTCCTGATACATCAGATGAAACATGAAAAGGAATTAAATCTGCATGCAACCAGTACTCGACAGTTGAACCATTTTGGTTTACATTAAAACAATGTCTAACTTCATTACCAACACCATCAAGACTACTTGATTCTAAAGCTATGTGTACCATACATTTATCTTCGATGGCACAATATGCTAAATAGTTATCACTAGTAAGATAAACATTGATATCATCTTCTTGAACTAAACATGCATAACCTCGATCTTGTAAAGGTATAGCAACTGTTTTACTATCTTTGCAATCAGTATTTAACTTTTCTTGGGTTGATAATTTTTCCAAAGTTTTTATGTTTACTTCAGTAATATTATCAAGAACGGGTTCACTCATTGAGTACTTTATAGGATTTTGGTTGTAGTGTTGGAAATATTGTTGATATAGCTTGAAAAATTGTTCATCACGACCAACAATAACTGATTTTTCATTTTCAACAATACTGTCCTACAACAAAAGTTAAATACATTTATACAGTAAGGATTTAAATTTTATTAGATATGAATGATTATTAAATAATTACATAGAAGTAAAATTATTATTACAATAATAATGAAATTAAACTAAAAAATAACTATAAAATTGTTTAATGGTTAATACCCTAAAAATAATAATAAAGTATTTAAACATTTCATAATAATTTCAAGAAGTTAAAAATTATTAAGTACTCAACAATAAATTTTAAGTATAATATATATATATATATATTTAACCAATAATAACATATTGTATATTCACATTATCAAGAAAAAAAAAAAAAAGGAATTCTTGGATGTGAAACTGAATAATAAATAAGGTAGAACAAATCCTCGAAAGCTTGAAAAGTTGGATAGAACACAGTACCAATGAAAGCATACTCAGTGAAATAAATTAACGCAGAGGATACTCAAAACCTTCAAAGCAAGACAATAGAACATGATTTGATAACATATTAAGACAAAAAAAAAATTATAAAATAATAAGGGAAAAATTGAAGGTAAGAGAGACCCAAGACATTCAAAAACTTAATTTGCTAAGCAAATGATCTCCGGTACTGTATTGTCAAACTACACGGAACAGAAGAAAGTTAGCTGGAAACAGAGAAGTGTTAAAGAAAGTGATATTAGACTATCAAATTAAACATAGAGTTGAATACAAGAAGAGAGAGAATAACTAATAATTCTTAACATAACTAACTTTCATTTAAATGATTGCTATTAATTTACCTGGGATTCAGAAGTAATAGGAAAAACATTTTCATTTGTAACTTCATCTTTTAAAATTTCTGCTTCATCAATGGAAACATTATCTGAGGGTAATAATTCCAAAATATTACCAACCTAAATTATAAACACAGATATAAATCAAAAAAGTACAAACATAATTGAGTTATGATTGAAATTCACCTGTATAGAAGATTGAGTATCATTATTAATGGCTACATTTGTCAACTGATCAAAAGAATCTACTGATTTCCAGTTATTATAATGTTCATCGTGGTAATTGTAACTTGGATTATAATTTTCATATATACTGTAGTCAACTGGAATTATTTTATCATTTTTAATATTTTTCATTTTTGAATAATGAGGTTCAAAGGAAGAACATAATTCATAGGACTGGGAGCAATCATTAGCATATTCATTAGCCCAATTTTCAGAATAATATCTAGTGTCATTTACTACAGAATCAATTTCACATAATTGTTCTTCTGAATCAAAATCTTCTTTAAACTCTACATTTTTATTTACTAAATTGTCAGTAATAAAACTGTTTGAAATATCTTTTAAATTATTATGTTCATTAGCGTAACTCATAGGAGTATTAATTTCTTCATATTTGGGTGGTTCATCCCAACGAGATTTTTTTAAATGCAATTCACTATGACCATTCATTTTGCAGATATTAGTATTATTTTGAATAACTGATGAATTAAATTTACTCCAATCAGATGTCCATTGAACAATTAGTTCATTATCAATTATTGAAGATTCTAAATCAATATTAGAAATTTGTGGACATATAGAATCAGAATCTTTTAGAACTGATGTCGTTTGAACAAAACTATTATTTTGAGGTGGTATCATATTAGATTCTATATGTTGTTCAAATTTACTGACATTGGTGGAATTTGATGAAGTAATTATTTCTCTTTTTACAACTATATTATCAAATTCATACATTTTTTCATTTTGGTTTTCTAAATCTGAACCACAACTATTTGATTCAATTGTATCAAATGAATGGTCTTCTATTTTTTGTACTACCCTACAATTTGAAACTGAATTATTTTCACGTGATTTATTATCATTATATTTATTTTTTAATACATTTGGCTCCATTTGTTCATTTTGTTCTTCATCATTTAAATGTTCCAATGAATTGGGGCTTAATTTTTTCGACTCTTCCAGGCTTAATCTAGAATCAAATACTTTATCATTTGCTTGTATACCAATTTCATGTGATTTTTTATTTTTTATTTCAGGACTAATTACAACTTTTGGCTTATCGAACTTTAAAAGTGTTGATTCATCTATTACTGATTTTATGCATTCATTAGGTTCTTTTAAATTTTGTTCGGTTTTTTCTATTTTATTTATTGGTTTCAATAAGCCAAGTGGCGAAGAAAATCCAAATACAAATGGTATATGTTGGCAAGTTGAGAGTTTTTTTAAATTCATTTTTACTTTATCTCGATAAGATATAGTCTCTCCAATAGGCTTATTAATGATAATATTAGTAACAGCAGGATTATTATGGGTCAATTTCGAAACACTATAACCATCTTTATTTAAAACTTGCTCTTCAATATTATCGTTAATTAATAATGTATTTTGTAATTCATCATTTTCATGTTTTAATTCATTATTAACATATTTATCAGGTTTATTCAATATTTTATCATTATCAATATTACACTCTTTTACTTCACCAGATTCACTTTCACAAGAGTTCTTTTCTCTTTCTTCAAATTTTTCAACTAATACTTTACGCGACCCTAAATTTTCATTTTGATTATTTTTTAAGTCCAAAAGGCATGAATTTTCCTCACTTAAATGTGTAGATCTAGATCTGTTTACATTCACTTCTTCATCAAACCCACTAGTATCATTTGTAGGTGATGTATAATTTATATTCTTAACTTCCGAGTGATGGACGACTCCCCTCATGGAACTTTTGTTTTTAATGTTCCACTCATTGGGTCGCAGTCCAAAAAAATGAACATTTTCATTTTTCATTTTTTTATGCTCCAACTCTTCTTCATCATCAGTCTCAGAAGAGTCCGTCATTTTTGATTTTTTTTTAGATTTTTTCTTTGATACATGTTCTTCCAAATCAAAAGATCGTTTTTCAGAAGATTTTTTTTTTTTACTCTTTCTTTTTTTTTCACCATCTTTTATTTTTAATCTGCCATCTAACTTCGATTTTTTGGGAGTTATTTCTTCACCAGAAATATCAGATTCACGTTTACGTTTGAAACTTTTCTTAGATTTTTTGTTTTTCTTTACCTTTTCTTCATCCATATTTAAATATTTTAATACTTCACTGACTGTACTGTCATCACAAGTAAGAGATTGATTTCTACTAACTTTATCATTCTTTGCCAATTTTGTGAATGTTTCTTTTAAACATTCTTTAACTTTTTCAATATCATCATCATTTTCTTCATTTAACTTAGTTTCTTTTTTTTCATGTTTTCGTTTTTTCTTCTTTTGTTTGAGTTCTTCATCATCCAAAGATTTCATTTTTATTTCAACATTAAAAGCCTTTTCTAATAAGTTTAAAATATTACTGTTGTCTTTTTCATCATCAGAATTTTTAATTTTGTTCTTAAGACTCTTATTTTTTTTTTTTAAATTATGTTTACTTTTGTTTTTCTTTTTATCTTTAGATTTGTACTTCTTTTTTTCAACTGAAGAGGTTGAATCAGTTGTTTCAGAATCACTTTCTTCTGAACTACTATCACTTTCTGATTCCGAATCTTGAGAACTTTCACTAGAACTATATTTACGTTTTTTTTTCTTACTTTCTTTTTTTTTATTTTTTTTAGACTTTTTACTAGACATTTTTTTCTTTTTTTTTAATTTTATATCAACAGAAGATAATCTATTAACAAATGACTTATCATTAATTGATTTCTCTTCAACACTGTGTAACGAAGCAAAATCATCTGAAGACTTAACTGATGAATCCTCTACAGAATCCCCATTCAATGATGTTAATGATTTCACCAATAAATTGTTTTCATCTTCTTTTGTAATTTTTGCAGTAGGAAAATTATTTTCAACTGCTTTTTCTAATTTTTCAGCACTTACTATTTTTAAAAACTTTTCATATTCCGTATCCAATATAGCATGTACTTGTGGTTCTTGAGACCGATTAGGTGAAGTTGAAATAACTTTAATCTTTGGATCAACTTCACAAGCATCGGATGTAGTATCCATTGATTCTTCGTCCTGACAACTTATATCTGGAGGGTTATTTTCTTGTTTAATAACTATACCAATATCATTAGAAGTAATTATATCTAAATTTTGAGAAACTTCAACATCCATTACTTTATCAGTTGCCGGACTACCGTCGTAATCGCTATCCCATTTTGATGGAACTGTAGGTCTTATATCAACCATTGACGTATCATCATTAAATCTAGATTTTTTAGTTCGCTTACTAGGAGCAAACTCATTTATTAATGCATCTTTGTCTATTTCTATATTTGGATCTTCTTTAACTTGACACATGATAAAATATGTTTTAGGCCACCAACCTTTGAATGGATAAATATTAGGATCTTTCATCATAACTAATAGATTATCATCTAAATGGTTATAATTGCCACAAGTTGAATGATCTTTAAGCCTGTAAATAAATAAATCCAATAATTTGTAATTTAAAATATAAAAGAAAACTTATTTACAATCATTGGTAATACAATTTGGCCAAAAAATTATTTTTTTTTCAAAACATACATACACATGTATATTAAAATGGTTTCTTACCTTTTTGGTTTTATACTTGATAGGAACTTGTGAACAATAGATTCAATTTCTGGAAGAAGAGTGGCTAACATTTGTTGTCTATTCTGAAGATGATAAGTAGCACTTGCTGGGTTTTCACTAAATTTTATAGCCGGTTTGGTCTTGGTACATCGAGTGATACTGCTGGGATAATACTTAGAATAATCTCCTTCTTGTGTCAAAACCTCAGGACCTTTCAGAATTTTTTTTTTACGATCCAACAAGTTAAAACGTTGAATGCCAACACCTTTTTCTATTTCAGTTGACCTGAAAATTATTATAATTATTGATATAATATAAACCATAAAATCCAATAATAATGTAATTATATTTTATTATTGCAAGTAAATTATTTGTAATTATATATACATAGAGATCCAGCAAGCACATTCATAGACTTTGAATATTTTTTTGTTTTTAATTAGAAAAGTGAACAGGTATATTGGTTAAAATGTAGTTTGAGGATAAACAAATAGTTGTTGCTATAGCATTAATCGTATTCACAAAACTGAAAACTTAATCTAATAATAATGTGACTTAATACAATTTTCAACTGTATTTTGATGTTTTTAGAGCTGTTAGGATTTATGAAAAATGTCTAGATGCTCTGAGAGCAAATACAACAATTTATTTATATTTTGATTTCTTAGGGTACCTGACAATGTTGTGTACTGTCTTAAAAGTTTCAAGTACTTCTTAAAGGACTCTTGCACATTAAACACTGCTAAACTACATTAAACTGTTACTATGTAAATATTATTACTTATTATTACTGTAAACACCAATACATCATTAACTTAAGTTTTTTTTTTTTTAATAGATTTTGTGTTACAATTAATCTCGACAGTTAGGAAATTAACTTAAGTTAAATCTATAGTATTATGTAAAAACCTGCATGTGTTGTCTCCATAAGACATATGTACAACATAACAAATTTGCGTTCAGTAATCCAAAAATAGTAATATTAGCTAATAATATTAGTAATATTTGAGTAAACTGACCTATAATCAAATTTTAAGGGAAGAACATTATCTGTGTTTTATTGATCGGTTTTTCCAATATTTTAATTTTTTAGTGTGTTCTTTCCATATACCTAGTTTAATTATACATCAGTTTTTTAAAAAAAAAATGTTATATTATTTTATTTGGCTTTTGTCATAAACAATACAAATAGGTCAATTTACTCTAATATTAACACTAACATCAATAAATTTGAATTACTGAACGCAAATTTGCAATGTTGTACGTACGTCATATGGAAACAACACATGCGGTCCTCTTAAGGTTTTTTTTTTATTAGATAAAAAATAAGACATTTCTAACCATAGGCTATCTATATCTACGGATGAAAAAAGAAAATTTGAAGTTCTAACATAATAATATGGATTTAATATGGATTTAGTTTATGATGCAGTATTGGTGTTTACAGTAATAATAAGTATAATATTTATTTATTTACATAACAATTGTAATATAGAGTAGCAGTGTTTAATGTGTAGGAGTGCTTGAAATCCTTTTAAGGCAGTACACAACATAGTCAGGTACCCTTAGGAATCAAAATATAAATAAATTGTATTTGCTCTTGAAGCACCTAGAAAATTTTAGAGAGGCCTGATATTATTTTTTCACTGTTAAACCTTAACTTCTCCTGAAGAGAATGATATATTTGCTATGTTTTTTTTAAATGAATTTAATTTGTTTTATTTTTATATATACAAGTGTTAACATGAGTGATAATATGTTCTTTTAATAAAATGGTACACAAGCACACCATAATGCAATTATAATTAGTCAATACTTGCATCAAATTTGTATAAATGTATTACTTTTAATTACTTTTAATTAAAATGTTTTTAAATTTTATAATTTTGAATTAAATAATATTAAAATGTATTATTCAATAAAGAACAAATCAGTCATACCTTTAGAAATACAACGTTCTATTTAAGAGTTGATTATGAAAGAAAAAAATCTACTACAACCCCATAATATTTATAACAAAATAATTGATACTTACAGACCAAAATCTGTATTTTGGATTTTTGCATCAGAACGAGTTTCACCATGTCTTTTCTTCATCCTTGACTTGCGTTCTTTCTCTTTAATTTCTTCAGTTTCATCCAACTTAAATCTGCGAAACTTGTCAAAATGAAATCCACCATTGATGAAATCCTTCCAACTTTTGACATCTAGTGCCCGCATCTTTGGCTTTTCTGCTGATCTGGACCTGGACCTAGACCTAGAAAAAAAATAAAAATTCATGGCGGAATTAATTTTAAGTTGAAATAATTTCGGGTAATTGATATACCTCTATTAAAATGATAACGTAAATATCAAATAGGTACAAAAAGTGCTCAGCGCTTCCTTCACTAAACATTATAGAGTAATATTGCAACAATGCTGATGCCCCGGGACTTTTGTTTTCTGTGGATAACTTTTGCGCTAAATATTTATGATTGGATTTAGTTAAGTCTTTGTGCTTAGGAAAAAAAATTGGGCAAATAATAACCTGGATTTAGAATGAGAACGGCGTCTGTATTTATGGCTTCTTCTATTATCATCTCGGCGCCTGTGATGATGTCTCTTCAACCGCTTATCTTGTTCTCGTATCTTCGCTGAATATTTTTCTGCCAAAGATTCTATTCCAAGTTTCTGAAGAATAGGAGCTTCGTTACCTTTAGTAAAAATATAAAAATATTTAAACTTTCTAATTTATACCAGTTTAAAAAAAAGTTTCTTTTTATTTATTTATTATTTTTAATGAGAATAGTATATACACAGTATGAATATGCAGGGCTGGATCTAGGGGGGGGGAAGTCGGGGATTTATCCCCGGGTGTAACATTTTAGAGGGTGTAATTTTCGTAATTATTAACAACTAATTTGATATTTTTAACTTCGTTAAATACTGATATTAGGTTAAAACTTAATAAGTACGATTGTATATTGATTATAAGAACACAATTTATTTGAGTATTTGTTTATTAGTCTATGGATAGGGCGTAATTTTAACATTTTACCCGGGCGTAAAAATGCCTAGTTCCATCTCTGTGAATATGTACCAAAGAGGTAGGGTAAACACAAATAGAGTTACATTATTAAGTAGTCATCCGTTAATGACACATAGCTTATTATTAATGATTAAAGTAAAATTAAATCAGATCACTTTCTTTTAGGACTGTATTAAAAACTTACAAGGAATGAAGGTATTTATTAATGGATTGTAATGGTTTTCTAGGCAAGAAATAAATCTTTAAAAAAAAAAAGAATACATTTCTTTTTCGATTATTTTAAAACCAAGATCTTTATGAAGATTTAAATTTAAGATAAATAGTAAAAGTTAATGATATTACAGTGGGGTATTTTGAAAAATTTAAATTTTATTTAGATTAGATTTCTTAACCATTCTACAGAGTTGTAGCCCATATAATGATATTGGCTTTAAGAGCATTTTATAAATTATAAGTTTAATAATTAAACTAATACATTTATTTTATACCGATATAATTTGTAGCATAAAAGGTCGGGAATTAACATAAAGGTCTAAATATTTCAAAGTATTAAGAGAAACAATAGAGAAATTATTTACTGAAATGTTTGGACAGAGATTGTGTTGTAGGACAAAAATCATATGGATAGACTTATTGTAGATTAATTAAAAAAATTGCTTGATTGTATACCATTCTAACATCAAATTTATATGGTAAGTAAATTAACTAGGACAGTTAATTGAAAGTATTATAAAAAATAGATGAAACTTAGCCATCTGCATAATTAATCTATTGACTATTTTGGACTGTGGACTAATCAAAAACATACATTCTTAATCGAATAGGCAAAAAATTACCTCTTCTTTTAGGAACTCTAGCATTAATTATAATTTTAATAATTTTAATAGAATTTAAAGAAAATATTAGAAAATGGTAATTTGTAAGGCAGGTATGACTTAATTTAAAGAAAAATTGTACAGAATTAACATTTTTGATTTTTGAATAGTTATTTTCTTTGCCTATCTTGTCAAAAGTCTAAGAGATATATTTATTTTACATAAAAATTTAGTGGTGTAAAAGTTAGATTTTGAGTGAGGTGAAGATAACTGTTTGAACTTGATATACTGTGCTACATTTAGCTCTAAATACAAATCGAATAAATTGAATTTTACTACTTGAAATCAAGAAATTCATTATAGAATGAGTTTTGGATATCTTCTTTTTCTCCTTCACGTTTCTCCTAACTATTTGAGGTCAGCTTAGCTTATCCTAAGCCTCCACTTGCCTAGATTTTCTATATCTCCTACACATACACTAACAGCTCAAGCGTATTCAACAATCTCTTTTTTGATCTCTTCCTCTTTTTCCTTCAAGGTTCATTTACATAACCACTCTTACTGCTATATTTCCTCTTGCCTCATCACATGCCTATGATTACTATCAAATATTTCACCTCCTCTACAAAGACACAAAGAATTTCTAAAAATTGGGAGGAATAAATACAAACATAACCAACAATTACCAATAAATTCTGTCTTATTAAACCTACCAAGAATTCGCCTCAAGTCAAGAACCCCATTTTGGATGGCTGTTGAAAAATCAGTTGGAAAATCAGATGTCTATAGAAAAACGACATTCTTCACGGGAAAAGGGGGACCGACGAGTGTGAGTTATATGCATTTGAAGGCACTCTAAAAGAATTACATAATCTCACTAAAAACGCAGTTAAATGGTTTAAAGAATTCCCAATCCAACTATGACAATACAATGACTAAAGTTACTGATTGGACCTACAATTTTAAAATTGTTATTATTATTTTTACACATTGTTAGTTTTTACACCATCAAAATTGTTAATGCTTAATGTTGTGAAATCATAAAAATATATATCACATGCCCAAACTACTTCAGTCTATTTTCTCTCATACTGTCTCCAATATCAACACTACACCTGTACTGTTGTAGAATTGTTTCTTGAGGGATATTTACTAATTAATAACATTATAGTCAGTGACATGAAAAGTGACCCCTGACCATCATGAACTTAGCAACCATTTTGCTGCAGGGGTACATCAATAAATTAAATTAATTGCCACGTTTTTTATAATTAAAACATAATTTACTGAAAATATTTTATAAATCAATTTTTTATTCAAACCAAACCTAAAACATTCAAAAAATAAAAATAAAAATACAAAAAATATTATATTTAATACAAATATCTAATCCATGATTTTCTTCATCATTATCTTAATTATTTTTGTCATCACTCCAGTCACTGTCATCTGATAATAAAGTTATAAATATTGATTCTATCATGATATCCCTCATTATTTTTTTTTTTTTGTTGTCCTCCGTCTGAATTTCTTCCACGTGACGGACACATTTCTTCCAATTGTTTATTGTGACCATGTCTAATGTCTTATGTGTTAACTGTTTTATATAAACCATTTTAAACATATTGTTATATTTTACCACTTGACCTTTAACTTGAGCCCAAACTAATTCTATAGGATTATATTTACAGTGGTAGGTCTAACTACTAATTCATCCAACTCGTATTTTTTTTCATGCGGCAACAGGTTTTTAACTTTTTGCCACAGTTCAGATAGTTTCCAATGGGTGGAACTCAATTTTTTATTTTTTAACCATTGTTGTGCATCGACTTTTTCCCAATTACTTTTAGAATATATTTCTCTGAGAATTGAATGGTTAAGTATATTATCCATAATGATAATGGATGACTCTTAGCAAATTGAGCAATTGAATAAACCATTGTTTGTAAACCTCACAATCCATCTTATTGTGATAATTAGTTGTATTTCCGGTACTGCTCCGAAATATTTGTTTCAATCCTTCTATAAGCCCGTAGTCAGAACATCCTGCATGACATACAATAAGCCAACCTCCTTTACTAGTTGGCACCTTTAGACCCCTGTATTATATTCATTCTGCTAAATAAAGCGTGCGTGAATGGTTTTGGTTTACCACATTTCATCGAGATAAACCACTGACTGGCCGTCTTTATTCTCTTACAACATATACATTTTTCTTAAAATGTACACTGAAGTGCAACATATCGTTCATTTCAATTAAAAACATATGACCATCGTTACATTTTTTATAAGTTAATTTTAAATTTTTAAAGTGCCTTTTCATTGATCGAACGCACCCAGTGTAATTTATTTTAATTTAAATTGCATTCAGTATTGATTGAGCAGTTGAGTACTCACCCCAATCATAAAATTCATAGACATTTATCCTCAAAATATCGGAATCATCCAGCTCTTAAACAAATTTTTGCACATTTATATTCCATACATAACGAAATAAACGTAGGACCCCCATCTGGTGTTTCTGAACCAATTCTTTTTTTGACTTCAGCACAAATCTATTTAACAGTATGATGCCCTACTCCACAAACTTTGGCACTAAGAACTCCCACACTTTTAAAAAAAACAAGCATTTAAACATCGCTTCTCCGACAATTGTTTTAAAAATATATACACTATGAATAATTTTTTTAGTCTGACTGTGATTATCTTTATCAACAATCAAAATTTTTAAACAGTTTACACGGTAATATTAAATGGTAACGCAGGCAAAAAAAAAACAGTGTAAAAAAATGTTTGTTAACGAATGCACAGTTAACAACATACAAAAAGATATAACACCAGAGTCATAAGAAATGTATGTAACTCTATGTGAATCACTATATCCCTACCACAGTACGTTTTGCAGCTGTCTTCCAGAAATTTCAATAGATTCAGTGTTTTGAGCTGGACAGCTGAAAAATGTACTGTGGTAGCCAGTAAGATGTACAAAAAAAAAAAAAAACAAGTTTTCTAAAACATAGAATATACATTACGAGCGGCATTGCGACAGCCATGCAGTATGAGTTATAGGTTGAGAACCCGAGGCTATCAGGTAGGGAAGTAATAGCGGGTAGCGGTACACAGGGGCCAGTTTTCATATTACTGACTATAATACAAAAAAGGTACAATGTATATATATTAAGTTATAACTCAATCAAGATCAATAAAGGATAAAATATTTAATTCAGTCTCACATTTAAGAATTTTAAAACCTATAGTGTTACATTTTAGTTTTTTTTTCTACAAATTATAACCAACTAACCAAATTAATTAATTATCTAAAGGTAATTAAAAATACAATAAATATATATTTATACATTATATTCATTATTTTACTTATTTTTAATTATCATAACTTTTTTTCTTATAACATATAATTAATTATTTAGAGTTGATAATTGATCTTATTATTTTATTACTAGTATTATTTTAAATATAAAATAACAATAATTTAAAATTATATATTTACCACCATTTCTGAGATGTTGGTATAATGCAGCATTATTTCCTTGCAATAGTTCATCTTTCTTCATTTCTTCAATTTGTTCAATGGTTTGTTGAGCCTTGATTACTTTAGCAACTGTAAAAACAAATACAACTCTATTTAAATAAATAAAATCATAAATTAATATTTTAGAAGAAATATTATTACAACACAAACCAAGATTTTAAATTTGACAGTTATTATTATATTATCTGAGTAGATGAATGTTAATGCAAAAACTGACCTCAATAAACCTATGTAAATAGTAAAATAAGAGTAATTTGATTCATAATATATTTTGTTTGGATGTAAGTGGTAATGAAAACCATAGATAAGTAAGAAATACAATTTAAAAATTAACAAATATGAAAATAGACATCTACCTTTTTTATTAGTAAGAACTTTTTTCTTCGTAACAGTTTGAAATACATTAAGTTCAGGCATAAATTCTACATCATTTCCTTCTCCAATGTCTGAATTTTGATTATCATTCATAGAATTATTTTGTTCTTGAAGTTTTTGTTTCATCATTGAAAATGCCATCAATCGTTTTTTGGCTTGAGTTTTACCTAATACAGTAGATCCTTTGGATACCTTTTCGACAGAATCATCTTTTCCATTTAATGCAGGTACAATTTGTTGATTGGTTAATTCAATAGCTTCAGTTGATTGTATTTGAGAGTGTGGATTAATCAAATAGCTAGGTTGTTGAACTGGAATGTTATATGGTGGTATCTGAGCAATTACTGGAACCACTGGTTGTTGCACTGGAGTAATTAAAGGTATAGTATGTTGTTGAACTACATTATCAACGCTTTCAGACATATTTTGTTTAACTTGTATTTGTTCTGGTGGCAGAGTTTGTAAATTATTAGGATTAGCAGATGATGTATTAAGTTGTTCAATAGAAACATCTGATTTACTTTCTTTCATAGTATCATCATCATCTATTTCAGCTGTTGGAGAATACCTAAAATATTAAATTTCAATTTATATCTTTTAAACTAAAATTGATTTAATAATTAAATGTAAAATTACCTATTGGAGTCATCAAGAGTAGGTACATTAGTTTTACTAGCTGGCTTTTCTTCAACTGGTAACTGTACAGTATCAGGAGGTGGTGGAGGTGGTTTAGATGATGCTTGGGGTTGATTTGCATTATAATTGTAGTTGTAATAATTTTGATATGGTTGATAATATTGTTGACTATTATAATCCCATTGATATTGTGGAAATGGATAACCATAATAATTAGAATAATTGTACATATAATTATAGTTGGAATAATTTTGCATATTATAATCAGCCGAATATGGAACTGAAGGTTGAGATCCTTTATCATCTTTAGGAAGAGGAGGAAGTAGAGGTGTTGAATTATCAGTAGAAACGGGTAAATTAGTTTCCGAAGCAATATTTTCATTTTGAGAATTAACATTATTTGTTTCTATTGATGTTTGGTTTTCAGAAACACTATTTTGAGTAACAACTTTCAATGGATCTTCACTATTACTATTACTAGCTGACAATACATTTTCTTCAAGCTGATTAATATTTTGAAGAGGCAATGATGACTCCTGTGAAATTGCACACTCAATATTTGCAGTTTCACCAACCTTTTCTTCAGGAATATCCATGTTTCTAAAAAAAAAAATCATAATATTTTTTATTAATTTATTTTTAATTTATATATTTATATAGGTAAGAATACCCAAAGAAAACTATTATTCACAATATTATTAATCATATACTTTTTAGACAAAACTGACAGAAAGCTTTAAATTTATAAATTTATTTTTAGTTTTTAATTAGAAAGAATAGTCCATTTTTTTATTACTGTTACATTTTATTTGGTAAATGCTTATTTAAAATTATGGATCTTCTTCATTAATTCTCTATCACTACAATTTTCAGTTTTCATTAATTCATTACCACTCAATAAATGTTCTATTGCTCTAAAAACTGTATCTCATCTTACCTAATCTAAATAAAATTAAACTCATAGTGTAATGATTAATGACTATTAACCCGAAGTAAAAGGTATCTAGTTTTGATCTCTTATTGTAACAAAAATTTTTCACATTTTTTTATTTCAAAAAATCAGAACTTTCATCTTAAAAAATATTAGGACTTCGCTCCATGGGAAATTATAGTCCAAGCCATAGGTTCCCAAAGTGTGCGCTACAATATCTGTATAGGAGCGCCGCGCCATCATAAAATACTATTGGGTCTAACATTTTTTTTTATGATTAGTCATGCTATGACTTAGAGAAGGGCGCCCTGAAAAAAATCTTGGATCAAAAAGGGCGCCGTGGTCAAAAAATTTTGGGAAGCACTGGTCTAAGCCTAAACCTAGTTTTTGTACAAACCTTGATACTGTTGCAGATGAGATTATGCTTTGTATGTAAACCTAAAACCTCACTGCATGAGTAAATCACATATAAAGACCACAAATACAAGGTATTATACTAGAACTAAACGATAATTCATAAATTTATCATTTTATAACACATAACATATATACGGTTTGAAAAATAACAAAAAAAATAAAAATATTGGTAATGAATTAACAGAAAAGGTCCAAAATTATTTTGATAAAGAAGTAGATTTGAGCTTAATATTTAGAAAATTTGATTAACTCAAAGATTAATTTTTTTGTTTTTTTGTCTAACATCTAAAATTTCAATCTATTTCCATTTCTTTAAAAATTTGAAGACTTTGAAAAATATTAAGATCTATTTTACTTTATATTTTACCTAATCTTAAAAATGTAGAAAGAAGTATTGTATGAATTAAAAAGTTCGACAGTGGACAATAGAACAGATGATATATGCAATAGATGAAATGATAAAATTAAGTGAATAGAAAAATTAGAATAAAAAATAAGCACATAATGTATAAATTACCAATGTCCTCAACCTATGATAGAAAAAAATAAGTTGATGGTCCAGTTATATTATAAGTAAAGAGCGGATATAATTGATATTGCAACTTTTTATTGATACCCAGTAAATCAAATCTGATCAAATATGTATACGAATCAGATTAATTACAGTCTTCCTATTTAATTTAATAATGCAATTTTTGTATACTTCACATGATAAAAAATACAAATTATTATTTCCAAAGTGATTTTACAAAAAAAATATAACTAAGATGTAAATTTTTACATGTAGTTAAATGTAGTTTAGGGTTTTTAAAATTATATTTATCTGAGTTGTCCACAAAACTCAAAATTTAGAAGAATCAAATAATCAATTACTTAATAGTTTAAATATATTTAGTATAAATACCTACTAAATAAATACTAAACAAATACTAACTAAATAAAAATATTTAGTATAAATAGTTCTATTAATATTCCCGGTCCCAATGGGAAAATAGTTAAGGATAAATTAAAATAAGTCTTAGAAAAAAATGAAGGAAATAAAACTATTAAAACTTACTCTGAGACTATGACAGAAAATCAAAAATGTTTATTTAGATACAACACCCAATTTTTTAAACTATTTTAAATGTGCATCAATAACAAGTCTCGATGTTGAACGTACTCTTACATTACATAAACATATTTTAAGTAACAGATGATACGATTTTCAAGAACACAATTTAGAGATGTATATTATTATAAATTTTAATTCAGAAAAATTATATATTTTTTAAATATTATACTAATGCCCATAATATTATTTAAGTAAGTAATTAATGATTAAATATTTGATATGATTTTACTATATAATTTTAAAGCAATTAATTAATTTTTTTTTTTAAATTAATTAAAGCAAATTTGCAATTTTAACATATTTACGAGTATACTGCAATTTTGATACATTTTCATTGCAATTTTGGCATTTTTTTATTGCAATTTTAAGATATTTTTAATGCAATTTTATCCGGTCTTTATGTATAAGAAATAGACAAAGGTGACATAAATATTAAAGTATAAGACAAAAAAGATTGTTGAATAGAATTCAGATTGACCTAAGAATAGTTTTCTCCAAGAATAAAAAACTAAAATGAATACATACAAATTAAACAAATATATCAAATAATATTCCTACTACTAACATGAGATAAGCATTCACAAAACATTGTGTTCACTTCTGTAAACAAAAAAAAAAAAATATCAGGCATAAATTACATTAATTTTTCATCAATATGATCTGAATCAATTTGTATAATCTTTATAGAGAAAATAAGGCATGAAAATTAAATTATGGTAACAAAAATCAAAGAAATGATTGCAAATACTTTCAATTTAAATATAATGGTAATTTGTAATTATATATACTGATGAATAATTACTGTGAATTAATTAATAATCAGTAACACCCATTGGTTTTTTCATAACTCATATAAACCGTCAGAATAAATAATTATGATGACATCAACCTTTCATAGTTTAAGTCTATATTAATATTGATTACAAACTCATTGATCCTCTTGGACTACTGGTACATTATAGAATTACTTGATAGACTATAAGGGTGTCACTGGCATCACTATTTACTAATGTGTGATAGATAAATGTAGTTAAATCAATATCCAATAAAATTTATAATTTTATTTTATTTAAAAAAAAAAAAAAAGTATTTCAATAGCAGGCTTTTGAAATTATACAGTAAATATTATATCTAATTAAATATAATTACTTTAGGTACATAAAAATATGTTACTTTACGTACCATGGTAAAGTCAAATATTAAAACTATTTTCATATATATATATATATATATATATATTATTTTAATTAATACATAAGTGTTAAGTATTGCTTTGGTATTTTTCTATAGCAATATTCATAAATTTATCATTTTTAAGGTTTATATTTTAGACAAAATTAAGATTATTTACAAAATTATTATTTTCACTTATATAGGAAATTATTAATTAAAATAACAATAACATTTTACACTTAGTTATGTAATTATTAAGCAAATCTAAACAATTATTAAACAACTATGATTATTGTATTACATAATATTAATTCAAAATTAATTTGAGAAGCATTTAACCTAAAATAAAATTGATACAATCTTTCATTGTTAGTATAATTTAATGCTTTAGGTAACTGATTAAAAATAACTTTTAAATTGCAAATTACGATTTACTAATGTCCAGAAAAATAATAGTAATTAAAAAATTTGTTATTAATGTTTAGAGATATAGTTTATATCTTTTACAAAAAATGTACTCCAAGTAGGAAGCGTTAGCACGTAAAAATTGAAAAAAAAACTCAATATTACAATGACCTAAGAACTAAATCAATTTAGGTATTCAATTCCAGTTCACTTTCGTTGAATACTGATAGTTTCGAACATAAATATTTTAACATTGAAATTGTTGAATGTTTTCTGTTGTACACGCACGCGTGCGTGCACGAGATCCACTGACCTATGTGTGTACCTGTTACAATACCACAGAGCGTACAAGACTATTGAATGTTTTTACGTAATAGTCATAACATTACGAATTTTACCTTAAATATTATAGATTTGCTTGACTCCGAACGACGACCCAATTGGAAACTAAGTTTGTGTTAAACTGTTAACCGGAACAGCGGCATGATCACGCTGCAGCTACGGGGCGGCGACAGATAACCAATAATATTATAACGGTTTCAATATCAAGTAACGATGATATAATAATTCACAATAACACAAAGGACTCACTGCTCACAACACGACAGCGACCTGTGGTAATTGTTGACGGATATAAAAATTAAAATTGGACTACCTAGACAATATGAATACGTATAGTGTAGTCTCCGTCAAAAACGTGTAAACGCAATCAACAAAAACCAACCAAACCACTTAAAACAAGAAAGGCATTCAAATACTACATCACAATCACTAACAAAACGATTCGATATAATAAATAATTATTGTAATCACAATGGAAATCAACGAGGTAATTACGCCATTGCGCCGATCGGATCTGACGGGGCTTACATGTATGTATGTGTTTGTGTGTGTGTGTGTGTGTGTGTGTGTGTGTGTGTGTGTGTATGTGTGTTTTTGTTCGTTCGCCGCCGTTGGCCGTTGTAGTGGTAGTGGTGATTTGTTGCCGACACGGCCGCGCCAGTAGCAGTAGCGAGGTATCATTAATGTTATTGTGTTTACAGCGTCTTTGCCGACGCGTTTTCCTCCAAGGCCTCGTTCAGAGTTCACAGTGTTATCAAATCAAGAAGAATCCATCATGGTTTTGTTGTTTTGTAGTGTTTACGTTTTTATTGATGTTAAAATGTATTTAATGCGATTCAAGATCAGTCTTACATAGGTTTAGTGGACATTCGTATCGACCGTTGTGTTCTGTTCGGCGAACGGTACTCGCCATGTACTCGAAAGGCAAAGGGTCGTCGGTGCCGTCGGACGCACAAGCCAGAGAAAGGTTAGCACTTTATGTTTATGAATACCTATTACACACTGGTGCCTCCAAAGCGGCGCAAACATTCTTGAGCGAGATACGCTGGGACAAAAACATATCGTTAGGTGAGCCCCCTGGGTTCCTTAGTTCGTGGTGGTGCGTATTCTGGGATCTTTACTGTGCCTCGCCTGAACGCCGTGACAACTGTGAACATTCCAGTGAAGCCAAGACATTCCATGATTATGGTTTTGTGAATCCAACCAATTATAATCCTGGTGGCGTTAACGGTATTGCACACAACACTGGTCCATCTCCTGGACCAATGGGCCCAATGCCACCTAATGATTCAATTCCGCCTGGGCCCGGAATGCCCCCAAACTTTTTCAATAATTCAAATATGAGACCATCACCAACTCACCCTGTATCACAATCGAGTCCTCATCCACCACCCAATGCTCCTCACAATCAAATGATGAATCAACCATTTATGGGCCCCCGATATCCTGGTGGACCTCGACCTGGTGTACGAATGCCACCTCATATGCCTAATGATTTCAATAGCCCAAGTCAGCCTATGATGAATAATATGGATATTATGCGCCCAGGACCACCTGTAATGAACCCAAGAATGAATCTATCTCGGGGTGGCTATGGACCTCCAATGCGAGGAATGCCTCCTGGTAATGTTATGGGACCTGGACCTGGTCCGGGAATGCATCCTGGCATGGGCATGGGTCCAGTAGGTCGACCTCAATGGACACCTGGTAATCCAAATCATCCAATGGGCTATACATCTTCATCACCTGGAAATTATCCACAAGGCCCTCCAGGTCCTGGGACTCCATTGATGACAAGTCCACAGGATTCAAATTCTGGTGGTGAAAATATGTACACAATGATGAAATCAGTACCAGGTGGTAGTATGCCTGGTGAATTTTCAATGGGAAATCCTGATTCTGCAGGACCATTAGGTCCAATGGGACCAAATTCTATGGGTCCTGTAATGAATGGTGATGGAATTGAAGGTATAAAACGATCACCACCTGATGGGCCTAGTACACCAAGGGATGACAGTGGAAGTGGTATGGGTGACTATAACCTAGGAGGATATGGTGGACCAGTGGACAATGATCAAAATGAATCTGCAGCAATATTGAAAATTAAAGAAAGTATGCAGGAAGAAGCAAAAAGGTTTGAAAAAGATTCTGACCATCCAGAGTATTATATACCTTAAGTTGCAAGCATTATAAATGCAACTCATCATCTCTGGTACTTTGAAAAAATTCTTGCCAAAATGTATATACATTTATATTATTAAATATTATTTATCAGTTAAAGGTTTAAAGATTACTTAATATCATTGTAAATAGTTTCCAGCGTGTCATGCAAAAACGCTGTCAATATTATGTGCTTCTTGTATTTTGTTATTTCTTTATAGTATTTTAAGATATTTCTGGGAGTCAAATTGCTCTTATATTTAATTTTTATAGATGATCAGAATTTAGACGAACTAATGGAATATTTCATAAATATCAGTTTTTTGTTTTAAAGAAAATTACTATAAATACAATGCAAGTTATTAATATATTTATCTGACAGTATTTCATAACCAAAACTCTTTATTTTGAATAAATGAAAAAAACATCTTAAATTTGATATAAATATATATTCTTGAATATTACGTTAAATATAGACATATTTTATAATTTTTTTTTTTTCCTTAAAGTATAAATTAAACCGCAAAATTTACCATTTGGTATTTTTCATCTTATTATGTTAATTTTTAAAAATGTATAAATATTAGGAAGTAAGTAAGATCTTTTTTAATGGTTGTAATTCAATAATGCAACAAAGTTGTTTAATATTTTTTTTCCTAGGGAAGGTAGATGTAGATAAATGAAATTGTTTTAAGTTTCTATTTAAATAATTTGCACTATGTATGATTTGAAGCAGGAGTCTAGTTTTTCATGCTTATTCTGTAGGGAAATGGCCAGTGATGAGAATTAAATTATTATCAAATACTGGTAATTGTTTGTAATGATGTGCTTAAATCTTGTGTGAGGTCTCTAAAGCATACAAATTTATTTAATAATCAGTAATCTCTTATTAGTAAAATAAATTAAATATCCTTTACATTTTTGGTTAGGATACTATTTAATTTAAACTATTAGAGAGTGGTATACAAATTTATTGTACCCATAATTTTAATTACTCATAAATTATTTTCAAACTTTTTATTTTTGTTTGAACTGTATGTATAAGTCGGGAAAATGAGAAAAATGTAAAATGATTCTCTTTAGACTCAAAACATTATCCTAGAGTGTACCATATATTTATATTGTATATTAATTTTAACATTTAATCTATTTTTAAAAAAATTTCTTCTTTGTGTATGTATGTTGCGACTTAGTGAGAAGACAACTTAAATTTCGTTGTTTAATTGCATGAGAATTTTTTTTAAGAATTATGTAAAATGCTCTTTAGCATTCTGATTTATTTAGTGTTATAAAATATTGTTCTTAATATTTATTCTATATAGTGTGCCTATATTTTCCCAACCAAACCCTGTCCATAAATTTTTTCTTAAAGCTTCTTGAAATTAATTAATTAATTTTTTTTTTATATAGTTAAGGTTACATTTAAGTATTCAATATATGTATAGTATTAATAGTAGTATAGATATTATTATTTATTATACTGATATAAAATAAAAAATATAGTTTGGCTCAAATGTTCAAGCGCTTTAAATGTGCGCAAATAACTTTGAATTATTAATAAGTACAATTCATGCTTTAATTATAACTTCCTACTTAAGCAAAAAATGCTGTTAATATTTATTTTAAATTCTTTTTTTTATGCATTTCCCTATATTTTGATACTTCCAGTTTTTTGTACCTTAAATTTTTTTTCTTCCTGGTTAAATTTAATATTTACCTTATTTTTATTTTAGGTTCAAAGCAACATAATTTATTTTAAATAAATGAATGCATTTCAAATATTAATCAGTATCTGTGTACATCTGTTTATAAATTTAATTTGGTGTCAATATTTTATGTCAAGTATTGTAAAGTAAATCAAAAGATTAAATATGGTTATTTAAAATTGTATTGTTAATAACTAATACCTATATAGCATATATCTTGTATGGTCTTATCAATATTATAAATAGACGATATTTTGTCAAATAAGATGATCTATACTACTTAATTGTATATAATATTGGTGTGTACATATAGGCTGTGGATAAAAATTAATATTTAGAAAATTTTGGAAAGAATTAAAAGCAAACTCTACTTATTGTTAGTCATACCTATTTACATTTTAAGGTAATCTAGTTAAATATATTTATATATTACTTATTGCATAATACGAAAGAATTCTTTCAACATTTCATTTTTATTACCTTGATCAACCTCTAGTCTATTTGCCTTTAGCTTCTTCAAATTTAATAAAAGAGTAAATTATATAAATATATATATTGCATACTTATATGTATATAATATTATTATCGTATATTAAGTCAATTAAGTGTAAAATGATTATTATAAAAACAAAAATATTATTTATCTTAGTTTCATTAAACATTGTTTGTGATTAAATATTTAGGTCCTATTATTTTTCCTTATTATAATTAAATTAATTCTAAGAAATATATATGAATAGTTTACAAAAAAATCCTGTTTTATTATATATATAGTATAAATATATATTCTTTAAGAAAAAGCTTCATGTTTGTCTTTACGACATACATTGAAGAAACATGTAATTTATTCATACATTAAATAAACTATTAACCAATAGAAAAGTACACATTTAAAACATTAATTCTTAGTTGTTAAAAATTACAACACAGTATTATTGATTATAAATACTTATTTATAATCAACGATAATATTTAAAGAAAAAAATATGACTCAGGTCAAAGGACAAAGACAAGAAATAGATGAATGGTTCATGGACAACTGTCGTGTATGACTATCTAAGTGATAAGTTTTCTAATAAACATCAGAAATATGATACACAATTAACCATCTATCATAATAAAATGTAATGATAATTAGTGAATTATAATGATTGATATTTAATTGAACATTTTTAATATAAAATAATTAAATATTTCATAATGAATACTTTTCATAATATTTTCAAGGCCAAATTGAATAACGTTTTTGGTATGATTCATGTTAAACCTTTACCAGGTAAGTGTAAAAAAAAATTAATATAAAACAAACTAAAATGTTTTTGCCCTTTCTAAAATAATATTCAGGCACACCATTATATAATGGAAGCATAAAAAAAATAATATACGCTGCTAACAAAGAGGCTGAAACTTATTTGAAATGTGGAATAGTAAGCATTAATAATTATGATAATTATATTTAATGACAGTTTCTACTCATAACATAATACTAAATATAATTATAAACACCATGTATTATAGGATGGTATTGTAGTAGAAAATATGCATGATATCCCTTATGTACCTGGCAATAAAATCGGTCCAGAAATAGTGTCTATGATGACTAGAGTTTGTACATCTGTGAGACAATTAGTTCCTGAAAACATTCCTTGTGGTTTACAAGTGGGTTCAATATAAATTGTTCCTATAGAGTTCATTGATTCATCACTGAAATTTAGATATTGGCTGCAGCAAATGAAGAAGCAATTGCTGTTGCACAAGCATCAGATTTCCAATTTATTAGAGCTGAAGGTTTTGTTTTTGGTCATATTGCTGACGAAGGATATATTGATGCATGTGCTGGTAAATTATTGAGGTATCGTAAATCAATAGACGCACAAAATATTAGTGTATTTACAGATATAAAGAAAAAACATAGGTAATATTACTTGAAATAATTTATTTTTGATAGTTTTGAGAAACCCAATACATTTGTTTGATACAATATTCTATTATACATAGTTCACATGCCATTACCCAAGATGTGAGTTTAATTGAAACTGCTAAAGCAGCTACATTTTTTTTGACTGATGGAATTATAATAACTGGAGCTGCAACGGGACAACCTGCTGAACCGCAGGAGGTCAATGGTAAATGATAACTTGTTTTTAAATTATAACAAAAACTAAATATATTTACTGGTCATGGTTCTCAACACTTGCAGATGTAAAAAAGTCTGTTAGCGTACCAGTATTAGTGGGTTCTGGTGTAACTTTAAACAATGTACATGAATACAAAGGTGTTGATGGATTTATTATTGGTTCTTACTTTAAGCGACATGGAAAGTATGTACCAACATGTAGAATTACTCTGATACAATATTAAAAAAAAAAAAAAATATTTGATTATAGGTGGCAGAATGAACTCGATGAACCAATAATATTGGAATTCATGCAATGTATAAATTAAAAAATCATATTTGTTTAAAAAAAAATTGTCTTATATTTCTCAGTAAAAAAAATTAACTAATTCAAGCTATAAAAGATAGTCTACGTTTTACAACTTGTAATTAATGTACAATAATTACTAAGAACATATTAATGTTAAATAAAAATAATACATACTTAAGAACAACATTAGAAATATTATTCAAAAATTAATTAATTGTTATAACTTACATCTATACAAAAATGAACAATAAAACTGAGATCAAAAATCAATGGAACATACAAAAAAATTATTGTTTTCTGTTTTTCTAAACTGAATTTCTTCCAACTAATTTTTTTAATGTCGATCCAAAACTGAATACTAGATTTCTAGCTGAAGTCATGTAAGATGTATTCTGGTTGGTTCTTGCAACTTCTGTATCCTACAAAATATAATAATTCAGTAAATTGTAAAATATTAGACCAACATTATCAAAACATCATTGAATAATAGATTATTTAGTACACTTTGATAGCAATGAATGTATGCAGTAAAAATATTAATTCATAATTACAAAGTAAAACCATACTAAATATTATAATTTAATGAATTATTCTTATTTTATTTCTTCATATTAATTGAATCTACATGTTGGGAACAAATATTAGATCAAATATTCATAATATTAATATAATTAAAAAGTTTTATCAACATAAGTATTCTTTAGTTAATTTCACAAAAATATTATTATAGTATACTTAGGGTTGCCAAATTTTGAAAACCTTAAATTGGGACATTACATTGATTTCTTTTTTTATGTTCATATGGAAATAAAAATAAGTGTATCCTTTTATATAACCCAATATTATTCTGTTTTATTATTAAATAATATATTAAATATTGTCTCCTCTGAGCTTCTATTAACTGGGACAAACTGAATGAGCCTGAACACTGGGACATGCCATTAAATCAGGACTGTTCTAGTCAAACCAAAATGAATGGAAAGCCTACATATACTTATATCATTAAGTTATAAAAATACTTATCTAAATAACTTCTATTAATCAATATTTAGATTAAGTTTTGCTTCTAAAATAATCTATAACAACTAATAAAACCAAAATGACAAGGTATTTAAATATATTTACCTTTTGATTATTTAATGATTTTACTTTTTTAGTTGGACTTGAAAACCCATTTTCTTCATATTTATTTAAGTCATTTTCCTTTTTTCTTTTGACCAATTTCAAAGGACCACATCTCTTTACAGGCATTAAAGAGTTGGCTTTGCACTAAAATAAATTTAAAATTATATAATTTAACAAAAATGATAAAATTATTATATTGAAGATATATAAAAATAACTGACCTTGTCAATAGCTAGCTGCAACATTTCTACCCAAGAACATGTAGCATGAGGTGCATCCATAGTGTAGAACACAAACTCTACAGATTGACAACTTATTGAAAATAATCCTCTTTTGTACATAATTGATTTAGCCTCACACTTATTTAATGGTAATACTCTAAGGCAAACTAACTTTTCTGGATCCACCCACTCTTTACAATATAGAATCATATCACTAAGCAATATCAAGTACCGTGGAATAGATGTACTGCCCTCAGGTGACACTTTCATAAGAGGTCCTTCTTTAATCAATTTACGCCCTGGCAGTACAATATTTACTTTTCCACAGCCAGATAGGCTGCGTTGAATACTCACTAATCTGGACATATTTTCTTGTTCTTGTACTAAGTTATTAATATGATCTGCAACTTTACTTATTTGTTCAGTGGCGGCTTAAAAAAAAATCACATATAAATTAACATAATTTTTTGCAATCCAAAAAAAAAATAAGAAATACAAATAACAAATCCAATTAAGACATTGTACTATCGCAGTGTTAAAATAAAATAAAAATATTGTATGGTTAATATGTCAATTTTAAACTATTTTCTATGTTAAATAAGTAATAATTTACAAAAATAAACTATTTCATAGTTTCAGAAAACATGTATCTGTTGTTACAGACATAAATAAATGTAGATTGGAATCAAAGAAATTGTTGGTTATTTTTTAGATAATAATGGACCTACAATAAATTTTAGACTTCAGGCATATTATAGAGTTGAAAAATAAAAATTATATTTAGAAGAAAATTATCTAAATCTAAATTTGGTTTAGATTTTTTTTTAAAGATATTAAATCATTTTTAATATCTAATAATAATAATAGCATCTAATTTTTAGAAGAAGAATTGAAATAATTTTTTTTATAGAAATTCAGATGATGTTGCTTTAGTAAGAATTAAAAATAAAGAGGATATAATTCCTAGATCAGGAAAGATTATTATTAGGGATTCCTAAATCAGAATACTTTTGGTTTAAATAAGGGATTTATTTATGATATTATTAACTGTACAATGACTAGAGTATTAAATAATATTTAAGATAATTTTTAAGAAATGCACTTTGAAAAGAACATGTTCTATATAAAAAAATAAATTGATGAAATAATTGAAGCTATTTACATTGTCTCAAATGTAAAAAAATAACAAAAAACATTAGTGTAGAAAAATTTCAAACTAATAGTAGATGAGAATCTTAATTAAGAGTATTAAATGTAAAACCTGGTGTAAAACAAATAAAAGCAAAGGCTATACTTCCAATAGCACAAGAACTTAATAAACCTATGAGAAAACAATTTCCGAAAAGAAAAATATTAACTAGAGGTATTGATGATCTATGGGGTGCTGATTAAGTTATAATGAAAAATTAAGAAAAAAAAATAATGGATATTCTTACATGTTGATTGTAATTGCAACTTTTTTTTAAATTTGCTTGGTCTGTTCCACTTCAAAAATAAAGATGGAAAAAGTGTTACTATAGCTTTTGAAAAAAAATTAGATATAGATAAATGATAAATTACATAAACATAAATCTCCAGTTTTACTTCATACTGATAAAGATCTAGACTTTGAAAATAAACTACTTATTGAAGTTTTAAAAAAATATAAAATAAAAATGTGTCATAGACAAAATTAAGAAAAATCAGCAATAGTTCAATGATTTAATAGAACACTTAACATAAAAGATAAGAATATATTTTGAAGTACAAAATAATAAAAAATAGATAAATAATTTATTATCATTGTTGAATATGTATATTTATAAACTCACAGATCTATTGGAATGAAAAGGCGAAAAGGCGTGAAGTAAATAAATCTAATGAAGATAAAGTTTTATGAAGACTATTACCTATTCTTAAATAAGAAATAGAAACAGAAAATTAAATTTAAAGCTGGAATTAGAATTACTAGATTAAAAAAAAAAAATTACTAATTAATATGATCCTAATTGGACTCTATAAATATTGGTAATAAGTGAAATTTTATATATCTATATATTTTACCAGTTACTTATAAAATTAAAAATATTAATAATGAACTGATTAAAGGTACATTTTAAAATGAGAAATTTACAAAATCTCAATTTTAAATTGAATAATTTTAAAAAAATTATTTTATTTATTTTCTTATTTAAAATGCAAAAATTGTTTTTTTTCTATAATATTTTTAACGCTAGATAAAACAATCATTAAGTTAGTTAGCAAGCTTAAAGTGAAATTTGCAACGAAATAATTTTTAATATAACTAAACTATATGAAAATGTTGAAAAAATATAACTATGTGATATCATTCTCAATATTAGTTTTAAGAGAAATGTAATTAATTAATAACTGCACCAGGAATGGTATATATATATATATATATTTACTACTCCTGCGAATTATTCAAATCATTAACATTATCTGAGAAAATGTTGACTTGCTACTCAACACGTTAAAAGCTATAACCGAAAATAATGTTCTACTGAATTTCACAATATTTCTACTGTCTTTACTAGCTGATAAAAGATTATCAGTATTTAAGCTTAAAAACCATAACTTAAACAGTTGATATATGAGACAGAAAAATAGTTTATATCAACAAAAAACAATAAAAATAATTTGGAAAAATATAATTGCTGTTAAGCAAAATATTTTCAGTCCCATAACTAAAAAAATGTAATGAAGCAAACTATGGCGTTCATACGGAAAAAAATAATTTTTGCTTTTAGTTATGCAAATAAATTATTATATTGTACCTTTAATTTCTTCATAACTTTTATGTTCAGTAGGAGTATAATTCAAAAGTTCACGTAATAACAATAAATAACGTGGAATTCTTTGAATTGGAGTTATCAAAAGTGAATTCAACTTTGCAGATACATCTGGTCTAGATTCTTGTACACAAACAAAGCGATAAAGCTTAGGATGGGATTTTGGCAAGTCCTAATAAAAATAAATTTAGTTTTTAAAATAAATTATAAATATTGACCTGTAAATATATTTCATACTTGAAGTGTTTCTAATACATTTTTATAGTTGAACGCATACACCGAATAAAGTTTAAGAAATGGTGCTGTACTCAAAAATACTTCTCCAATATTTTCTTTAGCTGGATGTAATTGTACAAGAAGTTCTTTATTTACATTTAGTATGGTCTCAACATTACCAAATAGTTTGTTAAGAACTTGACTAGAAGCAAGTTTCTGCTCTTCCATTGGGCGTTTAAAATACTATAAATTGATGATAAAATTAATTTCCCATTATAGAATTGATATTTATAGGATAGTACATAATTTTAAACTAGACCAACCGTGATTAATTTGTCCAACTGATGAATATAATTAGTTTCTGACACACATATCTCTTGAATTGCTCTAGTTCTCAACTTGGCAGCCCGTTTCTCATCATCATCACATATGTGTTGGTCTAAATCCCGTAGTACTGGGTAACAATGAAACAAAATACAAGTATGAATATGATAAGCAAACACCGCATTGAATTTTTACCTTTCTGTTTAGTTTTGGCCGACAATATGTTCTGTTGATCCAAAACTCCACGGAGTTCCTTGACAAAATGATTCGGTGGCGTCATCGGTACAAATAAATCGTTGTCCATTTTATAATAGATGTATTATAATAGAATATACACAGTAGACATTCGTAATGCGATCAGTCAAGATAAAGGACTGGAAAAATGAAAAACAAATCCAAAATGTTTTTCTCAGTGAAATTCTACATTCAAAATAATTGCGTTTCATAATTTACGAGGTTTTTCGAGTACATAAAAAATACGTTACAAAACAGAGTGACCACTTTAATAGTAATAATATTTATTTGTCAATTGAATATACATATGATATAAATTTTTGCGAATTATTTTTAACTCCAAACGGCTTTTAACAAAAATACACAATAAAAATCTAAAATGAACAATGGTTGTTACACTGTTATTGATCATTTTAATTATTATAAATTTAATAAATATTTTAAACATTAATGCTAAGCCAAATAATTAGTTTTAGTTTGCCACACTGAGTAACGGACCAGTAACGTAACAGCTTTAAATTACTTTTCTCATTTTACATCACCCCTCTCATGCTTCATAGATATACGCTCACGCACTCTGTTGTATTACAATCGACTTAAACATCCGCCATGGGATTGATCACCTGGTTTCCTTCCTTTTTTTTTTTAAACAAAATAACCGTTGCCACTTGTCAGAATAGAATTGTCAAAATTTTTCCTTTTCGTCAATTTTAACAATTTTGTTGGCCTTAACCGTTTTTTTGCTACGGCTTACGAGAGAACTGCTGGCCTTTTCTCATTTATTAATATATTAACATTTTTTTGAAAAACAATTATTACTTTTAAACGTAGTCTAGCTCAGTATTTTTTTCTAATTACGTACATCGTTTTGCCCTCGTATTTAGATATACATTACATTTTGTGTACCTTATTCGTAGGCATAATTGACTACAACCATTTTTAATTGTTTTCGAAATAATATTCTACTCAGCAATCTCAGTCATGAATAGTTTTGTGCCCAAGTCCAAAGAAAACCAACGACTGCAGAGAGCACCGGCCCCCAATGTATCAACACTCCGTCGTCGAACACCATGTTGTGGAACTACTACAGCCACGACTACTACAAGCACTACTACGACTTCCAGATCTATACCTCGTCTCTGTAATCACTCACCCAAACTTAACATCAATAAAACACCGGACCTATTGCATCCACCTAAATTCGGTGGTCAACAATTAGCAAATCGCAAACCAGACATTACCAAAAACTTACCTGGTAAATCTGTTCTAAAACCACCTCCACAACGTGTTGCTGAAAAACCTAAGTAAGATTTTTTGATTTTCATTAAATAATTGTATTTTACGTTCTGTATGTCAATTTCACCAACTGTTAATTATGAGTAACAATGTTAATTAGAGATTTTGAATTAGGTACATCAAGTTTAACTTACACTAAGTGTTATGATTACATAATCACGATAATTAAGAGTTTATGTCCAATTTTGGTTGGTTAATCACAGTTAACAATTTTTCTTCCTTTATTCATTTTTTTATATAAATTATAACAAGCTATTGTTAATTATTTACCTAAAAGATAAATAAAATTATGAAAATTCCTTCATGATCGAAATAATGTTTTTCTAATTACTCGCCACCCTAGATGAACAAATGATCACACCAAAGATTTATATAACCTGGATGACAAATTTTTCTATTATGGTTATAATTACTAAAAATATGTGAGAATATCTGTTTATGATATGGAAATATTTTTACACATATATTCAATATTAAATAGAATATAATGTATCTATATATTGTACCTTTATGTCATGTCTAAAAAGATAATGTAGTTAATCAAATTTTGTATATTTATTTGTTTTTTATTCAGAAGCATTTCAAAGTTAAATTGATACTCATAATAATGCATTATACATAAGTATATATTTATATTGATTTTGTTGTTTAAGATAATAATCTTACTATAACCTTATAATATAACTATACTTAAATAACCTTAAATTCCCATTTAAAAATATACATTTTTACAGTCATAATATTACAATATTTACAATATTAACCAATATCAATTATAATCAAATTTGTAATTTTAATTTTGAGGAGCTGAAATCATTTAATTTTTAATTTCAATAAAACCTAAATATTTAACCTAAAATTAAGTTATGGTTAAAATAATTATTAAATTCATTATTTTATTGTTGCTTCTTAATTTGTATTAATATAATATTTAAAAAACTTGAATATGTAATATGTTTTAGGGTTCCATGTCAAGTAACATTCAAAATTCCAACTATAGCCAATGTACCAAAAAAGTCTGTTACTAAACCACCAAATGAACCACCAACAACAATAAATCAACTGCAAACTAATATGAAAGCAGCAAATTTAAATACAAAACAAACTACTGAACAAGAAAATAATAACAATATGGGACTTACAAATAAAAAAGAAGAGTAAGCCTTATAGATTTATAAATAATAAAACTTGAATTATACTTAAATTTAATAGGATATTGTTAATTATTTTATGAATATTGTAAATAAATTAGTGTAAAATTCATTTGAAGCAGAATATTTCTTTGATCCAATAGTTTTTATTGTATATAAGGAAAATTACTTATTATAACATAGCTTACTATACCATTATTTAAATTAACAGGATGAAATGGTCTTTGGATAACTTTGATATTGGAAGAGCGTTAGGAAAAGGAAAATTTGGAAATGTGTATCTAGCTAGAGAAAAAAGTTCTGGATTTATTGTTGCTCTCAAAGTTTTATTTAAGACCCAAATTTTAAAAGCGAATGTTGAACACCAACTTAAAAGAGAAATTGAAATTCAAACACACTTAAGGTAAATATAATTTAAGTTCAATTCAAAATATGTATAATCAAGCCAATTAATTTTTTTAGACATCCTCATATTGTTCGTATGTTTGGTTATTTTCATGATGATGTTAGAGTGTATATGATATTAGAATATGCACCTAAACAACTTTATAAAGAATTACAAGCTCAAGAAAATAAACGTTTTTCTGAGGAAAAGTAAATATATTTAAAAATTAATACAATAATGCCTAATATCATTAAATGATATGTGAAATATTATCAATTATTAATAATTCCTAGGTTTTATATGTACTCATCTCTGTGTTCTATTTCTTTTATTATAATGCAATTATCAACTTGCTCTACAATTAATTTATTTAAATCTGATTAATAGGGCTGCTGTTTTCATTAAGCAATTAGCTGAAGCACTGATTTACTGTCACAATAAAAATATCATACATCGTGATATAAAACCAGAAAATCTTTTACTGACAAAAAGCGGAGATTTAAAAATTGCTGATTTTGGTTGGTCTGTTCATACACTAGTTTCCAAGTAATTCATTTTAAATAACAACTTTTATATAGATAAATAGATATATGTATTATATTATAAATGTATTGTATTTTTTAGACGTATGACATTATGTGGAACCTTAGACTATTTGCCACCAGAAATGGTCAGTGGAGACTCTCATGACAAATCTGTTGATATATGGAGTGTAGGTGTATTATTATATGAATTTTTAGTTGGTAAACCACCTTTTGAAGCACCAACTTATGAAGAAACATACAGAAGGATATTAAATGTTCAATATATTTTCCCTCAGCATGTAGCTCCTCTTGCTCGTGATCTCATATCACGTGTAAGTATTTTAAAATATACTGTTTATTTTTATTTATCATTGATAATAATTTGTTATTTAGTTATTAAAAGTGAAACCAGAGCTTCGTTTGGCTTTACAAGATCTGTTACAACATGAATGGATAAAACTGCATACTCAACATTTGCCTTCCAACTCTAACAAATAATTTTACATAAAATAATTAGGTGCTTAAATTTCAACTCATGTATAGTTTGGGTTTTATGTATACTTAATACTGTTCACATTATACATTTTTAAATTATATCTAATTTGTAAATTCAACTATCCATATTTTATTAGTATACAATTTATTTGTGATATCTTAGATAAATTTATAAATTTTTTACTTGAAACAAACTATTACTGACTTTTAACACTCTTATCTTCTTTGATCAAAAGCTTATATTGTATCATAAAAATTAGTTGTATACAATATTTATAAAACTACTATTATTTTTACTAAATTTCTATTTTTGTTTTAATTATACAACTCATTAGTATTTAACATTGATCATTATCAACCATTTATCTTTAGTTTTAAAAACTCAAAATTGTATACATGAACGGTTAATCAATAATTTTTATTTTTACATTTTTATTTAACTACTATGTTTTTTCATTAGTCAAGTTGATTTTTGATATACCTTATAAAAATAAGTTCAAGCAATTTTCTGAATGTGATTTATATTTTGATATTTTGATTAATTGATCTTATACTTGTTAAAATAGAAAAATAAGTTTTATTGTGTACATATTATATTATATTTGACATACAATATTGTTTTATTTAATCTTACCTTGATAACATTTTTTTAATAAAAAAAAAAAAAATAGACATAAAATAAAAACTTCTTAATATTTTTTGTTTTATTCGTAAAAATTGTAACTTAAATCATTTATTATTAAATCCGTAATTATAATATATCCATGTGATTGATATGTTCAAACTTATACTTCTTATTTTTCATTCATTGCATAATAAGACTCATGGTTTGGGGAAGAAGTTAATCTAAAAAAAATATATATATTGTTGAGTAAGTACAGGTTATAAACTAAAAGCATTATTTCTAATGCTATTTGGTCATCAACATCAAACATATTTGACTAAGAAAACGAAAATTTTCATTTATGGAACGACACTCACTTTTTCTCCATTTTTAACAAAACAGTTTCTGATCACTCGCCCAGCTGCACATTTTTCAGTTGTTTTTGGATCAATAATAGCTGTGAAAACAAAACACAGACAAACGTCAGTTATAACCCAAATCTTATTTACTGATTTCTTAATTGTATCATTGTGTTTTTAATGTGTTACCTTCTTTTTCGCAAGTTTCTATTATGTGCACTGCTTTCTTGTGTTCATCTGGCTGTTTAGCAAAACGTATCTGAGCCAACGTTTTGCCGTCGGCCACGCTGAACTTATTGTTTTTGATCAAATTCAAGTTTTTGTACACACATTCCAAGTAGCACCTCTGCTGTTCGTTTTGCGGTACCACGGTGTTACTGACCAACGCCATGATTTCTTGGGGAGCGTGCAACTCGTCCTTGCACTTCACTGCAATCGTGTTCAGTTTCTGTTTCAGTGCTACGTGTCCTTCGGTCATCTACGTATTATTTAAATCATTATTTTTATCCAACCATAGGGGTTTCGATAACGCCGATCTATTTGATTTCAACCCTTCCTCCCATACGTTCTCAATTCCATAAAAGGGTGGCGGAACCTTGGGAGCTGAAGCCCCATTCCTCTTTAGGCCTTAAGTACTTATAATATTCAAAAGATTACCTTAATTTTCAATTTATTAATTGAAGTAAAAAGAAGCAAAACTATACTTATAACCAGGGCTCGGAAATACTAGCAAATGTATATTATTCTTTGTTTCATTATTATATGTTTCACACTACTCGGATATCATATACAAAATTTAATTTTGCTATTTTTTGCATATTTACGGGTTTTATTGCTATTTTGCTTTGTAATTTAAGGTTTATAGTGCTATTTTTGGGTATATTTTCACATAATACAGGAAATAATTACATTTTGTTAATAATAATGGTATTTACCTACTCGATTATATTTTTAAAAATATTTGAATTATTGGAAATAAATAGACCTCATAAAATATTATTTTATGTTTTCATCGACAATTTGATACTTAATTAGTGACGTCATTGTTATTACCTTATTTTAACATAGAATTAGAGTATCAAACATTTTAATAATCTAGGGTAATTTCCAATTTTATATAAAATAATTTAATTATAAGTACACTTTTATAAATATATTTAATTAATTTAACATTTTTGTTAACAGTTTATAATTCAACCTATAGGCGGACCCAGAGTATTACATTTGAGTGTGCGCTGTCATTTTTTGGTTATTTTTCAAAATATTAATGGGAGACTGTAAACACGTACGTGTAGACCGTGTTATGATATAAATTCTAAAAATAAAAGCTTCGTTAATGATGTAAAATAATGATTGGTAAAAAATACACGTAATTATTATTTCAGACTTACTCTAAAAACTTGCAGTATTACTTACAAGACACTAAAATTTAATTAATGTGTATGCACCTATATTCTCAATTGTAATTATTCAATTTTTATATTCACATTATTCACATTAGGGTGTGCCAAGGCACATCCGGCACATCCCGTAGAGCTGGCTGCCTATGATTCAACCAGTCCAGACGTCTATGAGCCCAAAAATTTGTAAAATTACAATCAATTTTTTTTCTATTAAATTTATAAATTTTTCAAGTTAAAAGCATATTTTTTCGTTCAACCCTATTTCCCACCCCTTTTTTCATTTATAGATTCGCGCCTGGTTGCATATTACATTCTCTACTCACGTTGATGGGTTTCTGCGTGGTGACGGTTGCATGTGCCGCGGCTCCGGTTGGCTTGACGGTGGGCTCCGTGTCGCCGTGTCCCTTGTGCGCCGTAGTGGCCGCGGTCGTGGCGTTAGCCCCTGCTCCCGTGCCGGCGGCGGTCGAGGCGTGCGCGTGATCCTTGGCGTACGTCGTTGACTGGCCAGCCGGTGTGCTGGACGACTGCACCGGCAAACGCGTCGGTGTCACCGTTGTCGAGGGCTTCGTCGTGGCACTCTTGTAACAAGTGGATATATTACACGGGTCTGAGCTCTGATTTAACGGGTAGGTACACATGAATAACAACGGTGACAGTGCGTGCATGTGTGTGTATACATATACATATATATATATATATATATACAGAGGTGGAACTAGGAATTTTTACACCCAGGGAAAATGTTAAAATTACGCCCTATCATAGACCAATAATCAATCAAATACTCTTCTCGAGAATTTTTTTCTAATAATTAATGTACAATCATACTTATTGAGTTTAAACCTAATATCACTATTTAACAAAGTTATAAATATCGAATTAGTTGTTAATGATTTCAAAAATTATACCCTCTAAAATGTTTCCCCCCGGAATGAATCCTCGTCTTTCACCCCCTAGTTCCGCTTCTGTGTATATAAAATATATATACCTACATTGTCGGATCTAGGAAATTTGACGTCCGAGGCTGATAAAAAATGTGCAACATCCTTACTTAGATGGATACGTACGGGATAGGTTCGTAACTCTTTTTTATTTTTCATAAAATGAAGACTGACCTTATACCAACAGCGATCAGGGCAAGCATACCCACTTCCCCCCTAGATCTAGCACTGTAAATATATATTTATATATTTATGTATGCGTATGTTACGGTTATCTAATATCCGAAAACGGTTAATACAGTACCAGTGGCGTATTTTTCAAATTTTTTGTGAATAGGCTTAACATTTTTTTTAAAAAATATGTGATTTTATAATATTAAAAAAAATATATATAAGATATGGATTGATAATTATATTATTCTATTATTATTATAAATATAAATGGAGAGTTATTCGTAGTAAAAAAGGTAAACGTCATTTTTTTTTTGCCAGTTCATCAATAATTTCTTTAGTTAATTTTATATACTTAGTAGTATTTTTCTATTGATAATATCGCTAAACCGTTTCTTTTTTTTTATTCTAGGAGGCGAGACATGAAAACAATGGAAATTATTTAAAGGTAAATTATTTGTTGTGCAATGGAACAAATTTCATTTGCAAATAAATGATACCGATTAAGTATGATAGGTGATTGTGAACTTGTTTTATTCTACCTATAAAATTTGAGTTATATTACCATACTATAAATATAAATTTATATAACCAATTTCTTAGTGAAATATACCTTGGTAACGGTCCAATATGCGACCTACAAATGTTACTCGACTTACCGATAAGATTGTGTTGATCTACAATGTAGATACTACATGTTTCGTTACCGTGGTTAATGTCATTATAGACATTTTATTCTATTTATGGGAATATTATTTATGTATTTTGGGACCGAGAAAATCTTTTACAAATTATTAAAAATAAATTAAAAACTGGAACCATAATTCATAGTGACCAATGGATAGTCTATCGCATATTGGACCGTTAGCAATACCTTAAATTATATTTATTATTTCTTCCATGAAAAAAAGGTAAATTGAATGAACCCCTTACTCTATGTAGTATCTTTATAACCCTTAGGTATAAAAATATTTAGTAGAGGGGATGAGGTACTAAGAAAGACTTTGCACTGGGCGTTGATTATGCTAGGGACGGCACTGCATGCCATTAAAAACTGCCACCCTCAAAAGTTATCTCTTACGGTAATTCATCACGTTTTCTTTTTTCTATGCAACCAAGCTCATTCGGTGTCAAACGAAAAATGTAATTCACGCTACATGGGAAGGGAGAAGGGAACAGGTTATTCAAAATGTTGAGATTAGTCGGGAAATTTTCAAACAACCGCATAATGCTTTTCCGTTAACCATGGGTAAGTCATCATTTATAACCAGTGTTGTGCATTATCTAGATATAAATTATTTTAAGGATCTTTCTTATCTAGATAAATAAATAGGCCATCTGAGAATAATATTCTTGATAAATTATTATTCCGTCAATAATTTAAATATTTTTGACACAAAATTATTTTAAACTATGCTTGTAGATCAGAGAAATTTTGTCCTAAACAATAAAATACAATAAACAAATTGTTTAGAATTACCTAGTACGCGTATCACGCTCTGAATAAACTCGTATGTTATCGTATGCATATTTCTATGCAACGTATATCACTAATATAAATGTAATATAATAATCAATTTAAATAACAAATAATATATGAATATATATATATATATATATATAGTATGTTAATATTTACCGGGAAATACTTTTTTTCGAAATAATTATCCATCCATTATAAATAAAAGCAACGAAATAAACTACCTGTGTAATTCCACGTGTAGCAAATTATTTTTTCTACGTAAATAATTGATACGGTATTTACTATCGATTGATTGTCAAATAAAAACAACGATGTAATTGATTTTAGTATCGATGGAAAACATTACGCTCGGAAGACGCGTCATACGTCTTTCATGGGTTAGATATTGTATCGCCCTATCGTGTCAGATGCGTTACTCGTTCTCAATGTAATTTGTTGTTCGGAATGGTCGGTCTCAAAAACGATGTAATGAGAAGCCGGCTCCTAGTTTTAAATTATCGTTACCGTAATATGAATATACATTTCGTTGTGATAGATATGAGTTCATCACGGTTTATAAGACCTAAGTATAACACGGTCAAGGGTTATTTTTAACATGTACATAATATTAATATTTTGTATAACTACGCTAGAAATCTGAACCTGAAATATCTTCTTTTCGGCCATTTTTTGTTTTATACACATATACATTTCAAAGTATCTCGAAAAGTATCTCACTTCTCTTTGAATTTCACGATATTTATACCGAACGGGATTTAATCACGCAGGTACCTTTTTTGGTTTTTCGCGATACTTTTCTTAGTTCGCACCCCATAACCTATATATATACATATAGATACACACGCACACATAGTTATAATTTGTATATATTATGTACCTAATACATACATATCTCTATTTATATAATTGTGAAAATGGAATCTTGGTTCTATTTCGATTTTTTTTTAGATGTAAGAGTACACCGCGAAACAGGTTCTAGGCTTAATTTAAATTCTATAAGTTAACAGAGAAATTATTTATGTATAATTGTTTATTTTTCAATACCCCTTGGCGTAGAGCTACAATCTATTCGCATGGGTTGTAGGACAAGAAAATGTTTTACGTCAATTAGACTACCGCTGGGCAACTAAATAAAAACCTAAAAATCTAAAAAGTTCGTGACCATGTCAACAAGAAAAACTTGCTGCCAGTCCTTAGTCGGGGTTAAAATGAGAAAGAAAACAACGATTATAATTGTTTTTTTTTATTTGCTTTTAGTAACCTAACCTAACGTAAAGGTAAGCATTTATATATATACGCTCTCGTGCAGTCGGATTACGTTTTGGTCTCCTGACCAGATAATGTAATAATATGTGCTTTGTACAAAAACGAGTTTATGGAATTTACACATACCTGTACGGAGGCGACCAGAGCGACCAAAACGGTTGCTGCGGAAGCTGCAGTTATCTTCATGTTTGATGCTGCAGATTTCACACGATGCCGATTGAGGATGTGTTGCGTCTCAGCGGCGGGTAGTAAATTATTAATGTCTGACTGCTGCTGAGTGCTGGGTGCAGGTGTATCTATACTCAGTGATTCGATCGCTCGGTGCAATCGTCGCTTGTCAACTGATGCCTGCTGCTGCCACGAGGTCTTTTATAGACTTCCTTTGTCACGGCGTTATGATTATGACCTCTAAGTAATGAAATATCCAGACCAAATTGAAGCAAGGACATCTTTCCCCCCGAATAAGTGACGCGTCCTGTTTTGTATGCATGTGAAAATTGAACTTTTAAATTGGTACGAATGGCGTTCTGAAAAGCGATTCAATTGGGGAACAATCGTACGCACGAACAAGTACATGTTTAATAAGAGACACTGCGCGCGTTTATTATTCCGCATGTTGCATAATAGAAAATAATAATAATAATATAATAATAATAATAATGCGACGTCTTATTATTCACGGAAGAACATTATAGATATATATTTTCCATGCCGCATTTAAAGTGAATAATAAATGTAGACAATTTATATTGGTGCTTACGTGCGTTCTGTAATGTGTATACGTATCTGAACGTCAAAACATTAGTAATAAGTTAATTATTATTAAAAATTATACAAAGACCGAAGTAGATTTTTTTATTGAAAATGTTTTGGTTTAACTTTAAATTCACAAAACTGTTTTAAGAACTCGAAAAAGGACCACCAAATAGACCAGCGTTTCCCAAATAGTCGGTCACGATCCACTACTGGGCCACGAAAATATAACACCAGGTTGCAGAATTTAATAAAACTCTCATATTAAATTTGTTATTTTTCATTTCCTTTGAGAGTTTGAACTTTTTAGTAAAATTAAATTCATTAATACGAATAACTATTATTTACAACATAAATAATAATTATTGAGATTATCAACTAGACTTCATGAAAAACTAGTATAATATGGCACTCGCCTTATCTACAAATACAGTATAATAGTAAAAAATTAACACTTCAATTTTATTATAAAATTCTATGTGGACAATCAAATGTGTTTTATTTTGCCTTTTTTTTTACACAATGATAAATGTAAAATATTTTAGTGGGTCATGAAGGAGAAAAATATTAATTACCGGGTCAGCTCAAACAAGAGTTTGGGAAACGCTGAAATAGACGATATATTTATATAAACCTTACTGTTCAGTACTAAGATCTATTTTGATCCTTTGGTCATTTACTATACGTCAACAGGAAATGATACAACTGAGTAAGTTAAAAAGTTTTTGTTAGTATATTTTAAATATTACGATAACAAAACTATTATAATTAAAAATTATAGTATAAGGTCTGTTTATAAAATAACTGCGAAGAATATTCAATCCAATTACAAGTAAATATTCTGAGTGCGACGACAAAAGACACTTATAAATTGAAGTTCGTCCCTCATTTTAAAGGGTGGTGGATACAGGTCCCCTAATTTTAAGACTATAATTTATTTTTTCTTAAGTAATATTATAAAAATAAAAATAAATTATTGTAAATAATTTGTTTTATAAAGGATTTTTATTATAATTTACGTGTAATTATATTCTTATATAACTATAAATATAATATCATTATTACAACATTTTAATTAAATTTTTTTTTAATATTTATGTAATCATTAACTATGTAAATTTACATATATTATTACATACATATATACATTATATTATATTATATTATATAATAATATACACAAAAATAATATTAGTAGGTACTTTCAACTGCACGGGAATATTAAATTGGTCGTTTTCCGTCAGATAATCACATTTATTAATATTTATTTATTTATTAATATTTACTTATTTATTTATTAATAAATGTGATTATCTGACGGAAAACGACCAATTTAATATTCCCGTGCAGTTGAAAGTACCTACTAATATTATTTTTGTGTATATTATTATACTTGTGACATACTTGAACTAAAACTAGAGCATCTTTATCAGTGCTATACCTACCCTCCGTGTATAGGCACAACTAGAGCCAAAAATATTGGAAACGCTGAAATTGCTGAAATGAATATAGATTGACATACAAAAAACCAGGTAAGCTAAGTTTGAACTCAAGAATGCCAAAAATTATCTTACCCCTCCCCCCCTAATTGCTCCTATAACTCTGTGAGACACTCGGCGAACTTTATTTTGGAGCTTATTTTGTACAAAAAACGCAATTTTAATTTAACTCGAATTCAACCCCTTACTTAACTGCACCCTTGTCAACCTCTACTTATAGCACTGATATTTAATATTTTTTAAACATAGGTAAATGATCAATACATTATTCTTGTTAATTCGGTTTTATTAATTCAATTACAATAAAAGGAACTTTGAACATTGAGCACTATAAAAAAAGACGTGATGACTATTTAGAAAAATTGAAAATACCTTACACCGAGTCATACAGATATTTATTAAAGCTTATTGCATCGAAAATTATTAACTTTTTAGTTATAACACTATAATAACCATAAAAATAAATATATGTAGTATGTTTTCCTACATCATATAAATTTATTAGGGACATTACAGTATAAATGTATATTTATCATGATCAGATTACGTTATGGTTTGTAAATAATTATAATTCAGAATCATTATATTATTAAGGGAAATAAATGTTCATAAATAAATTTAAAATTTAAAATAAATTTAAGGTGAATTTAAGCAACTAAACAACAAGCCAGTGTATTAAAATGTATGTATCTGTTAACCCCCGAACTTTTTTATTATAGAAAAAGAAAATTTATGGACTTGATCAAAAATAACCTCACCACTATAAAATATTTCCCATAAGTTATTTAAGAAATTTTAATGTATAAGTAAATATACATACTGACATAATGTCAGTACATAATAGACATTATGTTTACGTTAATTTCAGTGAAAAAAGGATACTACGTTTCTATCATCGTTCAAGTCATACGCCGTTCATGCAATAATCAAAGAACTTCTATGTAATGAAAATACGTGAACCTATGTGTGTGTGTTGTCAGGTGGGGTTAAGGATGATGGTTTCATCATTGCTGTTCGTTTCAAAATAATTATAATAATTTGTTGTATGTAAAACTGCTTTAGTTTTTTGTCTATTGTCACTTTATATGATAAATATTTTCAAATCCACGGGTGAAATTTTTTTATTAAGAGTTTAATCTCTGCATCGATTCTTCAACAATGTTATTGCGTACATCAATAATAAAAAATGCAGCTAGTATTACAGTTATTGTAACAATTAAATTTATCAACAAGTTTATTTAACGTACAAACCAATCATAAATATTATTATGAAACTACTGTTTTTCTATTGTATTGTTATTATTCCTAAACCTACGTAAATGTCGAAAAGAAATTGATTGATACTCTCAACAACATATATTAGTATTTATGTACCTACAGCTAAAAATAATTAGATATTAGATTTAATTTATAGGAAAATATTGTTGGTTATTTTTCTAGATCTTCCTATACGTAATTTTTAAATGTGAGTTTTGTCAATTATTTCTTTGTTATTTTAATTTATTTATTTATTTGTATTTTGTTATATGTACAAGTATAAATAATATAATTGCGATTTTCCTTTCAACTATTACACAATACCTCCTATGCTATAGGAATTCACTATACATTAATATATTATACAATTGTAATTATTATGATGAACGTGCAATGTACCTAACACACTCGTAATTTAATAACGATAACAAAACCCGAGCGGAAAATGATAATATTGTGAAAGCCACGGACATCCTGTTAAGCATGCTATTCTTATTTCTTCGGATAATGACCCGAAAGTATAGATAATAATAAAAACCGGATAGTAAATTCCGTCATTCGGGATGAGCCGCGAACAGTACCAATAATATTTTGTACTTGTAATCAAATTTAATACACTGTTCGTATTCTATAGAAGTATGGTCTGCATAACATACGCATAATATTATTTATATTTATAAATTAAAAATACTTATACATAAAAATATATGAATACGTTTCGAACAGTAATCAAGACCACCGTGATAAAATTATTTGAATAATAAAATATTAAAAAATAAAATTAAAAATAAAAATTAGTAAATGGTTAAAAAATTTAAATCAATATATAAATAAATGTTTAGCCTGGAGTATTATTATATTTTTAAAATCAAAATATTTTTCAAAATTATTTGTCTACACATTATATTCGTCCAGGAATAACACATCCTGATGGTAAAAGTTTCTCCCAAATATTCTTACTATACGTAATATTTATTAATTTAATTATAGTATTTCATCTAAGTGTAAGTGGATAATATCTTGAAATCCTAAAGAAAAACATACATCTTATCTTATATCTTACAAAGGAAAAATTAAGTGGAAATTTGAAAAATATTGAACAATACTATGCTCTCAAACAAAAATCTCGTGCGCGCGCTTGTCTTCCACTGTCAAATTGGCATGTTTAAACAATTTCTAATCTGGAGCCTTCCACTGTCACAATATCACATTATATACAAAAATATTCAAAACGTGAACTTAAAACCGTAATTGAATTTGAACCACGGGTACATTCGACTCGAAAACGGATTATTTGAAAACTTAATCAGCGTCCCGCCAATATGCCTTTAAAAAGGGACGCTTCCGGTCACACCGGTGCGATGGTGCTGATTACTAATACTAATTTATTTCAAAAACACCTAATTACTATATAAACAACACGATAGTTGAATGCAAGACTAATAGCCAGTGCCGCAATTACACTAATTTGGGCCCGTGTGTAAATTAAATGAATGCCCCCCCCCCACGTCCAAACTCTGCAAAGAAACCGTACCTTTAATCAATTGTAACCAAAATATTTTGAATTTTGATTATACAGGCCGCAAAAGAAACGTTAATGTACGATAATGCACACAAAATAAAATTGATCGATTATTTTTCAATCCCCATTAATAATTATTATTACAAAATGGTTTTATTTTCTTGCTTTGATAAGATATTTGCAAAATTATTTAATAAAGACATTTTTCTGAATCGTTTTTCAGTTTTGATCGAACTTTATGCTAATAAAATACCCCAATTCTTCCCACTCCATATTTATGCCTCTTCATGGTCATATATTTTTAGAATTACCAAATTCACAAATTA